CACCAGTCCCCACTTTGACTATTCAATGCCGTTTTTCTCAATGAAGGAATTTTTTTGAATTTTTTCTTTGTTTTTATGGGAATTTACATGGATTTCTGCACAAAATAAAGCAATAAAATTTTTCACCCCACACCACCTTAAAAAAATTTAGAAACAGATATCACTTTGTGCAACCTGTTAGCCAAACCAAAAAATGAGGAAAAAATCCAAATATTTTAAAATACTTCTTCTCAAACATGCGATTCGTATTTATAATCAAATTTTCTTCAGCTGTAGTGCTTTTTTGAGCAGCATTGCCTTTTTTTGAGCAGCAGAAATAATTCATTTTTGTATGCCTGCGTCTAGGAATCTTATTGCTTTCTCTCTATAGATTCTCAGCTGTTTTGAAGGAGAAGCCCCTTTCTCATTTGGTATGCATTGCAATCCGACTGGTCGAGTGTTCGTCCGACTTTCGTTTGTTGACACCATGCCTTGTATGGCCTCCAGTTGTGTTTACTCTCGTGGCCAGATGGTCTAGTGGTATGATTCTCGCTTAGGGTGCGAGAGGTCCCGGGATCGATCCCCGGTCTGGCCCACTTACTTTTTCAACTAATTTTTTTTCTATTTGTAAGGAATTTTGATTGAATGACTATTGCGAAAAAATGAAAAACCTAGTAATGGTAAAAATAATTTTAATGTGCAAAACAAAATAAATGGAAATGAGTTTTTTTTCTTTAATGCAAAATTAAAAAAAAAACACCAAAAAAAGTTCTAGCAGCGAGTGGTTTCGATCCACCGACCTCTGGGTTATGGGCCCAGCACGCTTCCACTGCGCCACGCTGCTGACATTGTGCGTATGATGGCAACGTCTATATAAAACGAAGGCAAGACGGAAAAAAGAAAAGGAAAAAAATGAAGAGAGAAAAAGGAGAGAAAGAGGGCAAGGGAAGTCAGCTAGGAGAATTGTGTCGTTGTTCTATATGACCCTCTTTTCTGTGCATGCTATTTCTATGTGTGTGTGTGTATACGTGTTTTTGTCGAGTAGTCCAAGAAAAATACGTACTATGAAAATAGAAAAAAACAAGGTTTGAAAGATTGAAGTTCAAGATAAATCGAGGTCAGCCAGTCTAATAGAAAATGCACGTCACTTTTTTTTTCAATCTAAACTACCAAGAAAACCGGAATATTGGAAATCATTCCGCTTTCTTTTTCAGTATTTTTTTTCCTGCTATCAAAAACTATGATCCTTATCTATTCGTTCTTATCAAATTGAAACTTTCATTTTCATTCCCCTTAAACAAAACACAATTTCACCTGAAAGTTAGTGAAAAATAAGTCACATCATGGTTTGTAATCGGAAAACTGTATGCCTGCCGAAAATCCACTGTCCCTCTGTGAATTTTTATTGCCTTGCCAATTATCAAAACCTGTTCTGTTACTAAATTGTTTCTAGCCCTCCTGTGAATCTCTTCGGTAAGAGAATGGGTCATTTTTCGGGACACTCTAACCATTACACCAAAGATTTATTGTTTTATGTTCAGAGGGCACACTTTAGTTTCGGAAATTCAAATACCTGTCACCTTTTTGAAAATAAATCCATTAATTTTTTTGGAACCTTTTTCTGGAGATATCGGAGTCTCGTTTGGAGCCATAGAAGCGTTCTCAAGCTTTCTCTTAAGCTTTCTCACCTTTACCCCAATTTTAGATAGTCATTATTTCATTTTTCCAGATCTGAAGATGTCAACCGACAATATTGTCAGCAAAAAAGAAAAAATGAATACTTCTGCCCCTCTGATATCTCCTAAAACCATCGAACTAGTGGTCCAATGGTGTGAACACCACAAAAATGATGAACCATGCATTCCGGAGCCAGGAATCCAAAGGAAAATCGAAGTTCCAGAGTGGGATCGACAGTTTTTTGCAAGCTTGGACCCAGTTGGATTGTCTCACGTGGCTGCGGCTGCCAAATATTGGGAGCTTGAAAAACTTTCTGACTACATTAGTCAAACAAAAGCCTATGAATTTGGAAAAGGGAAATCGGAGGAGCTTCCAAAAGGTTGTAGTCTCCAGTCGATTCGGAAAATTGCGACAGAAATAGAAACGACAGAAACGGCTTCCGGAAAAATCTGTGAAAACACCCCTTGACTATATGTGATAATTTCTTTTTCTCATGATTTTCTGCAAATTACTTGTGCTTGAGAAGCTTAATAAAGTTAAAATAATTTTCCGTACACATTTACAGCGATTTCAAAACTTTATATTTGCTTTGTAGAATTGAACTACACTTTTTTCAAAGTTCAAATTACTAAGTCGAGAATTTGATGATTTTGGTTCTTGAAAAGTTCTTACTATACTAAACTTGCAAAAGGATATACGTCTGTTTTAAAAAAATACTTGACTTCAAAATGTTCCTTTTCCGATTTCATTACTCTTTTGTCTGCTTACGTAACATTAAAGAAAAGAAGAACAGTTCTTTTTGATGTTCTCGTATAGTTCGAATTCCCAGCGATCAAGAATTCATAGCTTCCACTCACACAACATTGAAAACATTTCCTATTTTCCCACCCACAGTGAAAACTATCATGTAAATTTTTTTATGATTCCCAACCCCCCCCCCTCTTTTTTCGACTATATAAGGAGAAGATCGGCCTCAAAAAATTCAAAGTGGTCTTGAGCCCCCCTCGAAATAATGAAGTTCTTCAATTCCCTCTTTATCGTCTTTCTATTCTCAGCTCTTGCGAGGGCTGACGCTGCGAGCCATGGCGACGATTGGTGCGATTCGAAGACCCAAGACGCCATCAACATCATCGTCATCACAATTATTTTGTTCATGAACAGTGAGTTAAAACCTAACAGCAGTTGATTGAGCAAAAATTTCAATTTCAGAGAAAGTTCATCACAAGACTTCAACGGTGTCAGGAACTCACCCCGACACAGGAGATGCCCCAGAAACACCAGATGGACTCGTTTTCTAGCTCAACGAGCTTCAATTTTGGATTTTTTTCCACGAATTTTTAATAAAATAAATGATGAGCATTGAATTTCATCTTTGAACATATCATAAAATATTATGCACCTAATAATTACATTAAAACTAAATACAGGCGAATTCTGTATGAGAAAATTTGATGAATTGCACCAGATGAACCTTCGCTGCTGATCGTGAGCACATCCGTTATCACGAGTTGTTCAAGTAACAGACCTAGACAGGAAGAAGCAATTTGTCTGTTTAATTCATTGCTCAGCATTCCGATAATGTTTTGTCTCAGTCAGAGAAATTCTCCGAAATTATCCGACTTTATCCTGAAAAAAAACTCGGAAGTCTTCGTCGGATTCCTTGAGAAACCGTTGTTGGAATCTAAAAATTTCCTCCGAATACCGTACTCGCCTTCGCCACCTCCAGCAATTCCTGGTGCAAAAGAAAAGAGGCATCAGAGAATGTCTAAACATTTCTCCCTCTCCCCTCATCATCATTGTTCTTGCCTCTTCCCCTAACTGCGCTCTTTTCCTTTTTCTCTGCCTTTTTTCTGTCTTTTCCGGCCCTCTTCTGCCTCACTGTTACGTGGTTTTCCGGTCAATATTTCAACAGAGCGCCTTTGCTGTTTGTCCACGTGAACTACACCGATTGAAACGATTATTATTAGATTTATAATGACGTTTTTTGCTATTTTTTCTTCAACAAAAATTACTTAAACCAACAAGATAATTTTTTTTAAACATATTATTATTATTTTTAGACAATATTTGTTGAAAACGCAGAAAACTGGAAACACATTGAACCAATGGAAGATGAATCCGACGCGTTGAGAACCGACTCGTTGTTCAAAGACCAAATAAACTGCCTGAAAAATGCTGGACGTTAACTAAAAGAAAGATAGCGGTGATCTCGTTTGAGACTCCTTCAAAAGGCGAGTATTTTTTTTGTTGCAGAGATTGAAGAACGAAGTGATGAAATCAATACACAACAGTTTTTTAAGAAGAAAAAATTTATATTGCAGGTTCCGGATAAAAGTGCATGATATGTAAGATATGGCGAAGAACGGATGCTTGCGAAAAAGATGGAAATGGAATGATTCATAGCAATTCTACTGATTTCTGCTCAAACCGTCCATCGTATGAGACAAAACCTCAATTACACTGCCAGCTTAGTTCGGTTGCAATTGCCAGAGAAATTTGAAAGTTGTCGGAATTTGAAGAAATCGCCGTCACTAACTGCATAGCGACGGTATGATCAGCAAATTGGCAACTGCAATTTACGAATGATGTTGGCTCTCTCAGGAATATCAAGGAACACACAGACGAATGCTTATTTTATGAGAGAGGTTTCTAGTGCCTTGTAAAACTCAAACTGATCTTTGGAGTATCAAATGCAATGAATATTTCTATGTTCCCAACTAACTAACCTGGACACTATGGATTTTTCCCATTCCGTATGTACATTAGTATTACGAAACCCAAAAGTATAACGGATTCTATTACAGACTCACACTTCATCTTCTCGGTGGTTTTATGCTGAACATTCAAAAGGAACCCATCGGTCAAGCAAAACACGATATAAGACGAATCTCGAGGAAGGCGATTTTTCAATTTGCTATCATACCTGTCTGGTGAATGGAGTAGTGATCGCAGAAGAACGTTTTTTATGTGATTCTCTCTGTTCGTTTGACAGCCTTAGCGAACTTCGCAACTCGATGGCCATTTGACCTTCCAATTAGGCTTAATAGCCTGAAATTCAAGGAAAATAACTAATTTCAGGCCAGTGGAATGTGCCAACTGACAGTAGCAGGACCTGTGTAACTGGGAAGAAGACTCGATGGCAATTTGACCTTCCAATTGAGCTTAATAGCCTGAAATTCAAGGAAGATAGCTAATTTCAGGCCAGTGCAATGTGTCAACTGACAGTAGCAGTACCGGTGTAACTGGGAAGAAGACTCGATGGCCATTTGACCTTCCAATTGATCTTAATAGCCTGAAATTCAAGGAAAATAACTAATTTCAGGCCAGTGGAATGTGTCAACTGACAGTAGCAGGACCTGTGTAACTGGGAAGAAGACTCGATGGCAATTGGACCTTCCAATTGAGCTAAATAGCCTGAAATTCAAGGAAAATAACTAATTTCAGGCCAGTGGAATGTGTCAACTGACAGTAGCAGGACCTGTGTAACTGGGAAGAAGACTCGATGGCAATTGGACCTTCCAATTGAGCTAAATAGCCTGGAATTCAAGGAAGATAGCTAATTTCAGGCCAGTGCAATGTGTCAACCTTGTCACAAACTGATCGTGATCTTTAACTTTATGATTTTATTTCTATTGTGTATTGTTATTTTATCTCTTTCATTTTTATTTTTTGTTTTCTTTTCTTCAATCTTTTGTGTATTCCATTTTTCTTATACATTTTTTATTGTCATCTTAGCTATTGATATGTTAATTTAGGTGTATAAAATGAGGTGAAGAAAAGGTGTATCAGAGCATCCAGTATTCATTTGAGCAGCCAAAAACTGAAGAAAATGGAGAAAAAGAAAGTTACTTTAAACTTTATACTTCTCATCGCGGCTGCCGTCAACTACGCTCGCAACAGTAAGTTCAAATCTTGCAGCTATCGATAGGCAAAAACTACAATTTCAGGCGGAGAAAAATTCCTCACTTCCTCGGAAGGTAACAAAAACCCCGCGGGCGGTGACTCTTCTGAAATCATTCTTCCCAGCGCGACAGTCGTGAACTACTCTCGCAAAAGTAAATTCAAATCTTGCAGCTATCGATAGGCAAAAACTACAATTTCAGGCGGAGAAAAATTCCTCACTTCCTCGGAGGGTAACAAAAACCCCGCGGGCGGTGACTCTTCTGAATCATTCTTCCCAGCGCGACAGTCGTGAACTACTCTCGCAAAAGTAAGTTCAAATCTTGCAGCTATCGATAGGCAAAAACTACAATTTCAGGCGGAGGAAAATTCTTCACTTCCTCGGAAGGTAACAAAAACCCCGCGGGCGGTGACTCTTCTGAAATCATTCTTCCCAGCGCGACAGTCGTGAACTACTCTCGCAAAAGTAAATTCAAATCTTGCAGCTATCGATAGGCAAAAACTACAATTTCAGGCGGAGGAAAATTCTTCACTTCCTCGGAAGGTAACAAAAACCCCGCGGGCGGTGACTCTTCTGAAATCATTCTTCCCAGCGCGACAGTCGTGAACTACTCTCGCAAAAGTAAATTCAAATCTTGCAGCTATCGATAGGCAAAAACTACAATTTCAGGCGGAGAAAAATTCCTCACTTCCTCGGAAGGTAACAAAAACCCCGCGGGCGGTGACTCTTCTGAAATCATTCTTCCCAGCGCGACAGTCGTGAACTACTCTCGCAAAAGTAAATTCAAATCTTGCAGCTATCGATAGGCAAAAACTACAATTTCAGGCGGAGAAAAATTCCTCACTTCCTCGGAAGGTAACAAAAACCCCGCGGGCGGTGACTCTTCTGAAATCATTCTTCCCAGCGCGACAGTCGTGAACTACTCTCGCAAAAGTAAATTCAAATCTTGCAGCTATCGATAGGCAAAAACTACAATTTCAGGCGGAGGAAAATTCTTCACTTCCTCGGAAGGTAACAAAAACCCCGCGGGCGGCGACTCTTCTGAAATCGGTGGATGGCTTGGCGAGAATCCCCTTCAAGACGAGGTCTTCTAGGATTTGTAATTCTTTGAACTGATCGTTATTCAATGAAAATGTGTATTGAAATTCCTGGTCTTGTGTGTACTGTTGTTCTCCGTGAAGCCAAAAATTCAAAAACAAAAAAAACATTGCTTTTTCGTACTTAAACTCAATGTTATTTTGACTATGTTCAAGATAAGCCATATTCGCATTTGTTACTTACGAAAGCGCTATTTGAAAGTTCATTTTGACGGATTTTAACTGAATTATCCTTTTATTATGAAATGCGCCGCAGGGAAGAACACTCGATTGCCATTTGACCTTCCAATCAGGCTTAATCGCCCAAAATTTTTCAGGCTTTTGCAATGTGTCAACTGACAGTAGCAGTACCGGTGTAGCTGGGAAGAAGACTCGATGGCTATTTGAAATTCATGAAAATATCCAATTTTTAATTGTTTCCGGGAAGTGATGGAACGTGTTTCGATATTTGAAATTGGAGAAGGCTTTACTCCGATTTAAAAAAAATTGTGTAGGAAGTGCAAAAAACTACCAGCGAACTGGCGAAGTTTTTTCTTTGTGCTATACTGGCCATTTTGATATCTTGGTATTTCTCTGTCTGTCCAGTATTTATCTGCCACCTCTTCCGATGTTCCTTTGAATGAAAATGTGTCTCGATGTTCTGTAAAGTGAATGACTTCCAAGTAAGTTGTTTTTTTTTCTAATTGGTAATCAATGCGGAAATGTCATGCACTTTTTGCAAACACAAACAGATTCTTTGAACTGTGTTTTTGAGATTCCCGTTTTGTTCGTTGTTTCTTCCAAAAAAAAAACTCCCCCCACCACATCTCACATCTTCAACTCGCAGAATCGGTTTTTGTGTTTGAAAGTGAAAAGTTGGAGATGGATCCTATTGATAACAGAACCAAAGTTCTTCTGCGAAACGGCGAAAGTAGGTCTGCAGAAAAGTGAAATGTGATATGAAGGAGAATCGAGTGTCTTTTTTCGATATTGACCCATTTTTTGAAGGACATTTGTTTCGGAAATATATAGAGTTGATACTATCGAACGTTGCTAAATTTTTGAGGTGGAAATCAGTTGTGGAACGGGGAGTCGGTACTGTAATCCAGTTAAATCGTGTTCTGTAATAGTTATCGCTTTCGGAAATTCTAATATTTTGAAATTATCATTTTTGGGAAGCTGATTTTAGCTTAAATTCGATCACCTTCGACGGAGTTCCGGTGTTTGTGATTACTCAAAATAGCGGATATCAATCCTTTGATTTTTGGAATATGTTCTGTGATCTCTCTTGCTTGTTTCAATGTTCCAACATTTTGTTTTCAATACAAGTACACATGCTTTCCCCTCGTGACATTGAACAACTAACTTTTTTCACTTCAAACAAACTCTGAACACATGTTCTCTAATGTAAGCAGAGATCAGAAATCAGCATCAAAAACCAAAGTTTATATCTTCTGTAGGGAAGAAGTGAATTTGCAAAGTCGAACGAGTTCTTTTCAAGTTTTTGTTGCAGCGAACTTTGATTTGATTGGTGAAAAGGATGATGATGATAGATTGGAACAGTATTTTGCAGAAATGATCGTATACACAAAATGAGCTGAAAATGATTTTCGGGTTTTCAGAAACACTTTTTGCTTTGGTTTCCAGTGTAATTTTGAAAATATGACAAAACTTCATCTAAACGAAAAAAATATGTACAGTACAGGCCGTAATTTTTCTTATTTTCAATTATCAAAAATTATGGGATTAATTCTTCTCATGTGACTGTAAACAATGACCTCATTTAACTTTCAATTTTGAGCCAATTTATCTCGGTTCTTGTTAAAGATATCAAGAAAGAGTCAACTAACAAAATACTTTTTATATCATTATTGGCATTTTGTCGGTTAATGATTTTTTGATATCTTTCACAGTAAATGAGATATAATAGGCTCGAAATGGACGGCTTGAGGGGCTATTATATTCATTATTTTTGGCCATTTTACTGAAACCTCATCTTAACAGTTTCAAACTATCCTGATTAGTAGTTATAAGGTATTCCCAACAACAAAACGACTTGAAAAAAATTATAACCAAAAATCCGCTGGTCCCCAATGGTGCTCGACAGCTACGCTACTTCGAAGATGTCGGAGCATTCTCAGGGACCACCAAACATGGTTTTCAAGACTAAAGAATTCAGAGAACAGAGAATATGGCGCAATATGCTTTTCCTGAACAGATTTCGACAACTATTTATGCTTGGTAAGTTGCGGTCAGACCAGATCGCAAAAGTGGGCGGAGCGACACTTTTTTCTTCTAGAAAAACGGGACGCAAGCTGGTACGACCTCTCAACGAGATAGTATTGGATATCGGGAGAACAAAATGAAAATTCGAACGACAGGTGCAGATGGAGACACACGCATTCGAACACGCACGATAGGGAGAGACCAAGAAAAAAAGTGCAAACCTTGAGATTTGACATATTGGACAGAGAAATGCGTGGTGATCTCTCGAATCTTCGACAAATCGTCGAAAACAAAAAGAAGGCGAAACGTGTAGTGGGTCAAGACGATATAGATTTATGGGATGAGAGTCTAGAATTATATCATTAGTTCAGATGTATGGATGGAGGTATCGACTACATAAAACTTTTAACATGATCGGAAACTTGATAAACGAGCTACAGACTCCTGAAAACGGTCAAAGCACGGAAAACCGGTAAATGAAAAATGCCGGTGCGTTGAAATACAGTACAACAAAAACAAGCAAAAAAAGGGAACATGAGCAAGTGGAAACTGGTAGGTAGGGTGAAATTTTTACAGAAAATCAGAAAATTCAAAAAATTTGAAGAAAATAATTAGAAAAATGGGAAATTGGTGATTGAGCAAGTGTGGGACAATTGAAACACAAAAAAAACGGTGTAAATTGGGGACATGGACAAATGGAGAGGGGGAGGTAAAGTGAAAAAATACGGTAATTTAAAGATTGTTTGATGAGTAGGAGAGTGGAGTGGGGTAGGTAAAGTGGAGGGAGTACCGTAGTTCAGACAGTGTAGAATAAATGGGATAAAATATATTGAGAACACAATTTGATTTCTAAAAAGTGGAAATTAAATTTCACCTTGCGAAATAATCTGAAACAAGGGGGTGCCTTGAACGTTCGTGTCCACAACTCTTCCGAAATGTTGAAATGTGAGCTGACGGGTTTCCTGATGGTGCTCGTAGACTTGTTTAATGTATTCTTCAAGACGATCAAACATGACCGTAGCCCATTCTTCTGGAGTTGCAACTTCTTCGATCGAAAACACTTCAATTCCATCTAACAATCGACATTGTGGGACAAAGATTCTGGTCCACTCTATCACTCGAATTCGACGAACACAAAACCGAGTCAAATGTGGTCTGAGAGCTCTGAACCTCATCAAAGTGACGGAACGAGCGAGTACTTCGATTGTATAAGCCGCCAAACCAATGGCGCGTCTATCATTAGTCACAATAAAGCCTGTTGGGCTTCTGAAAACATTCAATTGAATTGATAATTATTCAGTAATAAAGAACTCACAAAATGCGTTTAATATTAGAATAAGTTGCCAATTTTTTTAGCTTCTTGTAATAAATCCGGTTTTGAATCATTTCGATGAGTCCTAGCAACAGAGGCATCACGGCATTATGGTTACCAACTCGTTCAAAAATTTTCAGCAATGAAATGTAATTAATTTCGTACTCTTCAGGTTCCAGATTCTATCCAGATATGATGTTCCGAAAGACGGTGCAGATCAGTTTGAAAATATGATACATTTGGCGTAGATCGATCCTATTTTCCAGAAACCTGCTACATTTATCGAACATAGCTTGAAGAGCAGACAGAACACGTGGAATCTCTGTGATTTGTCTCCTCGCTGCTTCATCCAATCTGGGATATAGTGCATCCATAGTACGCAATCCGTGACCGACGTCCTCGAAGTTTCGAATCCTACTGTAGTGTCCGAAGACGTTAGAGATATGAATAACCACTCTCTGGAAATAACCAACAACATTCAATTCGGGCACTGTGTGCAACTTGGCGCAGTTGAACAGCCACCAATAGTTATAGGCTCTTTCCGTTCGACTGTCCAACAGAACTTGCGCGATTCTGCTTCTTTGGGTTCGAGTCATGTGTTGATTGTAGAAAGTGCTGAAAATGTGTTTGTAACGATCACAAATAGCTAATATTCCATTAGATTTTTTAGTTATCTTTTCAATGTTTTTGTGGCAGTTGATCTCTAGCTCATTTTAATTGCTAATTTTATAAGAAAATCATGTAGATTCACATAAAGATACAAAAAAAATTTCAAATAGAACACGGCACCGAAAAACGCGTCTTTCGAGAAGTTTCTTTTCTTTGTTTTTTGAACGTTTTCCTAGGCAATGTGAATTTTGAAACTCAGGTTGTCTACAAAATCTGCTCGTCTCAAAGATACAACTTTTGAAAATACTATTTTTCATCTCATTTTAGTAAACACTTTTCTGATTTTAATACTTTTTTTTCGAATTCTGGCTTCGTTTCGATATAGCGAAAAATGAAGCAATGGGTGGGTTCATCACTTGAAATGGAAACTAGTTTTCTATTTCTGTTACTCACCAATAAGTTACGGAGCACATTATCGCACAGATCGCTGATGTCCTCGCAATAGATTCAATCAGTGACACGTTGTCTATATAGTGGACGAATGTCTTGAAACATGTATTCAATAACTCTTGGTTCTTATTGTAGTTTATCCCATCGATGATTAGTCCATTGATTTTTTTAAATACTCGGTCCACCATCAAAAATTGTTGCTGCTCGTAAAAATGACCAAGTAGTTTCAGACTTGCTCTCAGATCCACTGAAGTCAACACCGTCAGTCCATCAATGTGCCCGATGTTCTCGCAATCCGTTCCTGAATAAAATTTTTATTGTAAAAAATTTAACTTAGGGGAATACTTACCAAACAAACAGATTTTCTGAATTGTTTTGTTGAGCATCAGAAATCTGCGCAACAGAACATCAGTGATGTGCAGGTACGGAAATCAATAAATTCAAGCTTGGGTAGAACCTTGTTGTCTTGAACCAAATATTCAATGGTTTTACATTCTCCCTCTCCATTTTTCCTGTAAAAAAACGAAAAATCTCGAATTATCATAAACTGGTCTTACTGGTATCTGGATACATCGAGATGCTTCAAAAGTCGCAGCGCGAAAAGCTCATGAAGATCCTCAGAAACGGAAACGGTTAGATTTCTCATGATGAGGGTCTCGAGGTTGATCAAACATGAGATTCCGTTGATGTAACTCAACGAAATACAAGATACATCCAGAGACTTCAGCTGAGGAAATGTCATCGAGAGCGGTGGAAACCCTGTTGTAGCTTTTTGCTTGCAGACAAGAGTCTGGAGATTCGGCAGATATCTCAGAATCTGAAACTACTTTAAACATTTTTTTACACAAACAACCGTGTCTTACCGTATCCATCCAGTCGCCACGATACGCCGATTTAGTAGCCACTTTGAGCGTTTCCAGTTTCTTGCGAGTTTCTGGATTTACAGAGGCTTTGATTAATCCTACAATGTCGTATACACCAACATCTGAAAATATTATTTTCATTCATATAGTCAATCATTTCGTGTTTTCTTACTATCAGCATCTTGATATGTTTTCAAACTGCAATTTATTTTGAGTGTTTTGAAATCGCATTTTGCAATTTCTTGAACGTGATTTTCCGTGATAATATTCGAAGTGAGATCGATTTCGTTCACCGAAAAAATTGTGAAAATGGATGGGTGGAAGATATAGTGGGAATAGGTTATTTGATCAAACATGATTTGCTTAAGTTTCGGTGAGACGTCTTCATTGATTTCGATTCTTGCTGTAGAGTTTAGGTTTTTGAACATATCCAGTGATAAAGACTCACCATGACCAAAATAATTGATACACTTTTTCAAAGCAATGTTGAATAAGCTTGGAACCTCCATTGTGCGCAGGAGAGACCAACAACAAGAAGAAAACTGATGAAATGCCTTCGCAGATGTTTTGGGGGAGGGTCTATGCGACCCACCAGAGCTTTGTGAGACTGTAGCTGTTTTTGCCCTCTACTGATTAGTCATCATAAAAAATATCTTCTGAGAGAATGTTGGCCAAATGACTCAGACATCTTGCAACGATCATTTGCAGAAAGTTTTCTGGAGAGAGGAGAAAACAACGGAATATAATTAAATAGATGGAGAGAAGAGAATGCGTATGTGACATTTAAAAATTGACAAAAAAAAAAAAAAACTAAAAGTAAAACAATAGACAAGAGATAAAAAGATAATAAATGAAAATATATCTATTGCTAATTCAGCTATTCCATATGCAGAATGGTGTTGCCATTTTCGTTCATATTTCCAGAAAACATCATCCATATTTTTAATCCGCATTTGCTTGAATTTCAACATCTTGAAAGTTCTCACAACGGGTTTTCGGCAGCTGGAGACTTCGCGCCATTTAATACCATTTGGTTTAAGCCACATAATGAAAAATCTCTCGTATTCGAAAGCTTCCACAAAGTTTATTGTTATCAACACCAAATCTCGTTTCCATCTTTTCAGTATCCTTGGATGGAACATCCGGGAAAGCAAGTACATTGCAAAATAAGAGACGTCGTTTTCATAGAACACGTCGTTGTCTTCAAAATACGAATAATCTTGGAACACGAGCTTTCTGAAATGATGAACAAAAGTGTTCCGAGAACTTGACAATTTTGAACTTACAGTAATACCAATGCAAGATCAAACGTGGCGTTTTGTTGGATAACGTTGCGGTGAATATGTGGCAATGCGAGGTAAAGCATTTTGAGGATTCCCCATGCAGTGGCAGTATGATTCAGAGCTTTTGGCAAAGATTCGAATAACAGCTGAACCAATGGTATTTGCCATCCAATGGTTTCATAAATAGTCCGCAAAATTGTCAGATATCGAATGACTATCTCTTCCACTTCTGTCGCTACGTCGAGAAGTAAACAAAAACGATAGAGAATCACGCCCAGCTTCAAAGACATCAAAGATGCTCTGACTGAGAGCTTTTCCCGAATGGCATCCGACATGTCCGTTAAAGCAGAATCGATTGAACACTCCATCATTACGACAATCGCTGTGAACTCTTGCAAATCATAACTTTCCGAACCCCACATGTAGACTATCCGTTCAAGAGATTTTCTGAACAGCAACTCTTTGTCCAATTCCGGTATTTCTAATAGTTCTGTTTGCGAAACAATGTAACAGAAAGACTCTTTCGGTTTCAAGTTGGATTTCACCAGGAATGTGATCATCTCATATTTGTTTGTAGATGAAATTTTGTCCAGATGTTGACGGCTGAAAAAAAACGGGACAAAATTCACATCCAGCACCGGGTCAACAAAGTATACCAAAAAAAAACGTTTTTTTCCATTTGACTATTGACATTTTCAGTAGTTTGGAGCTCGGATTTCTAGTTTCCGATCACATTGAAAACTTTTGAAAGGTATAAAACCGAATTTCCGCACAAAAACGTGAAAAAACAGGTGTCTTCCAGAGATCGGAAAATAGGTGGAAAACTGAGAACTTCCAAAAAATTATGTGAAACCAAAGTTTTGAATCTAGGTTTGTTTTACACGCTTCGAAAATTTTTAAAGGGATCAGCAGCTGAACTGCCTAGCTCCAGACTTCTGAAAATGGTCGAAATCGACTGACATATTTAAAGCTGCACAGCTTTAGTACTAGATATCTAAAAATATCGTATGCTTCCTCCAAAAGATCTTACCAGATGTTGGCCAAGCAATTCAGTATTAGTTCCATTGTTTTGCATACTTTTGTATCTTTCATTATAAAGATGAGATCAGTTGCACATTCGTTTACAACATTTTCAGCAAGATGGATATGTTAGAAAATTCACGAATTTCCATCAGAACATCTTGAACCATCGTCTCTCGCGACAAACTATAATAGTGATCAAGCAAGGACACGGATGATTTCAAATCAAATGCTGCTAGAACTTTCACATTTGGATCAAGCGCGTCGTGAATGAGAGTGCCTGCAAGTTGGTTTGTGCTACAAAGAATTTGATGTTTCTGCTTACCGTAGAGAACGATGCTGTTTATTGCCGGATTCAGACTCAAGAGTGTTGCAAGCACTCTATAGTTGAGACGGAGATTGGCACAGTCAATATGTTTCAGGCTCACCATTGACATGTTTCGTTCTACCAAATGACCCAGAGTATGACAGGCATCTTCATCCAGTTTCCTAAAACAAAAATTCATACAATCACGCAAATCTCATAATATATGATCAACAAGTGAATTATCAGCGTTTTTGTGAAATTGTAAGAGTTTTGTCAGTGGACCGTTTTTTGACAATCACAGAAAACGAGAAAAAGTGGCCTAAAAATAATAGCTCGCAGTCATTTTCAAAGATTTTTACCGAATCTCAAAATATTAGGTCGTCCCAAAAGTAATTCGTATTTTTCAAGCATGCATTTTTTATTTTAATAATATTTGACTCATGTTCCGTAAAAATTTCCATTTTGTTTCAAAAAATCTCACATGGAATGACTCCCAAGTGTTACCCTCAAAAAAAATCGAGACCTATATGGTTGGATAGAGCGTAAAAAGTTATTTTAGATTCCAAACGGAATAGTTGGTAAAAATGTTTTTTTGGGAGTTATGGTCCAAAAAATACCAAAAAATGTCTAAATTTTTTTTTTAGGGGGAAATCATGCTCACACAAGTTATGCCGAAAAATATCGATTTTCGGCACTTGGCTTCTTTGAATTCGTTGTCCGCGGCGGCCGGTATGATGAGGGGCATACTTGTTTTTGTGATTTTTACTTGCGTATCGTTTGCCTAGAGTGTTTGAAATAGAATCCTGCGACATACAAAGTCAATGTTTCAACTGCCGTACCATTTCTTAAAACCATCATCTTGAAGAAAGCAAAATTTTGACATGTGACAGGGCACATCTATAGTTAAACTTGATAGAAACGGCCAAACTATTTTTTTTAACGTAATCAGAAAAACGTAATCTTATCAACGGCTTGAACAGAATTTCGATTTAGGCCCTAGTGTGCTAAATCGCACTCTTCTGATGGTGATTCACCGGGGAATGTGCATTGCATCCCCCGCAATCACTTTCTTTTATTAAATTCTTTATCATGTAACCAGTATAAAAGCCTCTCTATTGTATCATTCTATATCGTTTAATAAACCAATGTAGCTTCTAAAACATGGTGCATCGTGGGTTGAAAACCCCGGTCGCTCAAAGTCCCGCGTGGCAGGTTTCTACATTGGTACCTCTATACTCCTATTATTCGCTGTTGCAATATTCACTACTGTATCGCAAGCGGCATGCAGTACCAGACATGATTGGCAGCTCCTGATATAGTCAACAAAGTCATTGGCATACTTGAGACTTGGGGAGCTGGTGGACACAGGATTAGCAGGTCCAAGTCATTCGAACGAAGTGGTCGGGACTTGGTGAGGACGATCACATTTGACGCATCTGAACGAGGACAAGAAAGCTATAAGACAGCGCTCGTAGCACGTCAGATATCAGTTGCACCCGAGCTTGCAGCTCACATCCAAACAATATGGATTGTTCAAACCAACTTAACTTCTTGCTCCAATCAAAAGTGGACCGACGAGGACGCTTTTCCCGCCCGGAGTCTCTCTCCAACGAGAGATTTTGATCTTTCATGCTAGACCACCGAGGTGTTAGATCACAAAGACGCGACGTTAACGACATTACGAGACGTATTCAGTAGAATCATGGACCCCGTAGATGTCACACCTTCGAACGCTCGCCAAGACGATACGAGAAAAGGCACTAACGACGTGACGCAGAACAGTACTACAAGAGGCGAGTGGACGCCGAAGACGTAGTCACTCAGTTCTTCAGTGTCAATTGGACCAACGGACAACTAATTTCAAATTTCGTTGTGTCTTCTTTTCTCTAAAGCCGGGAGTGTGCTAAATCGCACTCTTCTGATGGTGATTCACCGGGGAATGTGCATTGCATCCCCCGCAATCACTTTCTTTTATTAAATTCTTTATCATGTAACCAGTATAAAAGCCCCTCTATTGTATCATTCTATATCGTTTAATAAACCAATGTAGCTTCTAAAACACCTAGAATCAAAAATATTTACGATTTTCCGAGCCTGACCCCTATTTTTGGTGAAGTGTGACATGTGACAGGGCACATCTATAGATAAACTTGATGGAAACAGCTAAACTTTTGTTTAAACATGATTAAAATGACAAAATCTTTTTAACGGCTTGAACAGATTTTTTATTGAAAATACTATTAAACAAATGTTATTGGTTTGTTTCGTATCGTGAAAATAGGTGAAATGTAAAAAGGTCGATTTCGGCTGTCCGAAGCTGGAAGGATATCTTTCGGAAATCGTTCATTTAACTTACTTTCACCAGAGGGACCAAGTTGATTCTACTTTTTCTATGTTATTGTTTCATTTTAAATCAAATGGCGTTAACAGTTTTCTGATATTCTTTTTCTCAAGTTATGATCAAAAACACTAGGTGTCCCATCATCAGTGAATATTTTTATTTTTAGGGCCTAATTAAAAATTCTGTTCAAGCCGTTGATAGCCGTTGTTCAAGCCATCTATCTACTGTTTTTTTTAAATTTCAACAAACGGAAATAAACTGGCAAAGTTATGATTTTTTGAAAATTTAGACATTTTTTGGTATTTTTTGGACCATAACTCCCAAAAAAACATTTTTACCAACTATTCCGTTTGGAATCTAAAATAACTTTTTACGCTCTATCCAACCATATAGGTCTCGATTTTTTTCGAGGGTAACACTTGGGAGTCATTCCATGTCAGTCCATGGCCGAGAGCCTCGCCAACGAAACCCTTGATCTTTGAGGCTGTCTTCTTTTCGACTTTCTTAAAGAAGAATCCGCTGCAGCTACTCATTGATCTATATGCTCCGTAATTGGTGACAAGTCACTTGAGTATCATGCAATGCGACCTTGGTTCAATTGCTTTCGGAAAAAACGATTAATTGCTTGAAGGCAAACCAGCCCATTTTCTAGTTTCGATGCCGATATCGAGAAAGCTCTGGAAGCTGAGCCGAGACTCACTGTTCGTGAAGATTCTTCTACTCTCGGTCTACCTACTATGACAGCATCTCATCATTTTCAAAGTCCGGACACAGAGAATAATATGGTCAACTGATGCCACACCATTTCAGTGATTCCCAGATTAATACTAGTTGTGACTTGAGTTGGTCTTTGCTCACTCGTAAGCGAAAATTCGATGGTATCCATTATCTTGTGTCATGAAACGATAAAGAGTGTCTGTAGTTTGAAGAAAACAGAAAGCGTCAGTGGATCAAGATATCTCCAGAAATCCAAACTCCAGAAATCAATCACAAAGGAGAAATTCGTCAAAAAAAGGAGATGTTGAGCATTTGGTGGGATTTCTATGGGGTGATCTATGGAGAACTTTTTCCCATTGAGCGATCGTAACTACGGACAAATACTCTCACTAACTACAAAAAGAGTTCAACTCGTTTTGTGCTCTGCGTCCAGAACCGGACAAATTTGTTCTGCTTCACGACAACGTCTGCCGACTCTCGCCTTTGGTTAATCGCCAAAAAATCCAGGGCGTGGGTATCGAAGTACTCGTTTATCCATCATATTGTCCTGATCTTGCTTTATCAGAATTTCATTTATACCGCTCACTTAGAATGGTTAACAGGGTAAGCGCTTCGATGGAATATCGGATCTAAAATCGTATATGGATGCCTTCTTCGCGCAACAGCCACCCGCGTTCTAGGCGAGGGACTTTTAACAGCTACCAAAACGTTGACAGGGTGTGATGGACCATAATGAACATTAGATTACTTACTGAAATATTACTAAAGTTGAACAAAGTTTCGTTGAAAAAATCCCAAAAAATACGGATTACTTTTGGGACGAACTAGTAATTCGAAAATCAAAAATCATTAGCACTTACGTTGCTCTCGAAACATCTAGGTATTTCAATTTTGAAAGGAGGAACAAGTCATCATAATCAGATGCATTCTCAAGTTGCGTGTGCCTCATCACCAGGACTTCGAGATTGGGGAGTTGTGATACTCCTTTCAGTGATCTCATACGATTATTTGAAAGATCCAAGCATACGAGTTGAAAGTGTGCAAAGGGGAGTGGTGGAAAAAACAAATGAAATGCATTCTCTCTCACGAAACTTTTCAAGTTTGGAAACAATTCGAGAATCTGAAATTTTTCAATATTCTTGTTAAACGTGTGGAACGATTTCTGAATCTCACATCACGAAACCAAGTAGCTTGAAATGGAACAGATCCTTCAATATTCAAGTGGGCCAATTGTTCCCGACTTTTTGAATTTAAGCAGTCTTCGAGCAATCGGATGATATTGTAATGATGCTCATCTGAAATTTATCAAATCTGAATACGAAAAAATTGCAATCGATTCATCATCAAAATTCTGATATTCTCAAGGATCAATTTTGAAGAAATCTTCACATGTAAATATCATATTTAAAATACCAGAGCAAGGCCTGGGGTTTCACACACTTTCAAAAATTGAAATTTCAGATTTTTAACGAATTTTTTTTTTGAAAATAATCTTTCTGATGACACTCTGTTTTCTTATTATTTGGCATAGTTTTTTTAAAATAAACCCTGAACTGTTTTTGAGAATACTTAGAAAAAACTACAGAAAACCCGGGCCGGGCCCTGAAAATGTTGAAAAATGCTTCGGCCGGCTCGGCTCGCTGCAAGTATGCTTTATACAATAATACTCACCTTGATATTTATTTGTTTCGCAGTTGATCTTAAGAGAATGAACTTCCAGCGTGTTGATTTTTCTGATGTTGTCTTCTGACAACTCAAAATTGCGTACGTCGGCTTTAAATAACATTTCATTGTTGAAAAGGAACATGTCAGTCTCGTTTTCGCTTTCATTCCGTTTTGGTGTCATAATCTTTTCTAGCATCTTTTGCTCAACGTTGATTACCTTTGATTTTTCTGAATGGTACAAAAAAAATGAAAATTGCATCATTTGAACGAAATTACCTGTAGCTCTGCTAAGAACAATTTCTTGTAAACCGAGAGTGGACAGTTGGGGAATATCCATTTCTGATAAATCCCAGAAAAATGCGTTTATTCACTTTAGGGGAATGTGAGGATTTGAATTATGAAGAATAAAAGAAGTAGAAAGAGAAATTTGCGCGGCAAAACATGTCTGTGACCTCTTGTTTGCATGTACTCTTGTACCAGGTGCCTTATTCAAAAAAGAAATAACTCGCATTAACGCTACCTGTAACGCATTTGTCGTGATGACAGTGACTCTCTTCTAGTACGTAAATATTAGGTTGGAAGGAAAGTAACTGTCCATTTTTTAATTCGTGAATAACACAAAAACAAGAATTATCCAAGATTAACAGTATGCACCGTCGTGGTCCACGACATGCTGACAACATTCAGGTAACTTGTGGATACCATACCTCCAAAAGAAAGCTAGCTGCGAATCAAAGCAAACCTTGAGTGCTGCATATATTTGAGACCATAGTTGTGCATTATGACATGGAAGGAATCAAATAGACACGGTCTCCCAAATACTTTTTATCGAAAATCGACATTTTTCGATTTCACACCATCGGACCGTTCGCACATTTCCTATTATAGTAAAATTCTTTGCAGAGATAGAATGAAGGTGCAATCAAGTTTTTTGTAGCCTGTAAGCTATACTACAAAATACAGTTTAGTTTATAGTTTCATTTTCAAGCTGTACAAAGTTATGATTTTTTGAATGGACTTGATCCACTTTTTCGGAAAAATCACAAAAAGTTTTGCCATTCTGCTTAACCTGCCTATGGGCACCTTATATATCTGTTTTGTGCTAGTCCAGCGACCGGACATTTTTTGCCATCTTGTCACGATATTCCAAAATGTTATCAGTTGTCACATTTTTGATATTTCTCATAGAAATTGAGATAAATTAGGTCAAAGTCCACGTATTAGGTTGGATGGAAAGTAACTGTCCATTTTTTAATTCGTGAATAATACAAAAGCAAAAAATATCCAAGATTGGCAGTATGCACCATCGTGGTCCAAAACATGCTGACAATATTCAGGTAACTTGTGGATACCATACCTCCTAAAGCTCGCTGGCCGCGACTCAAAGTATTTTTTCAGTCCAGATTTTATCTCATCTGCAGTGTTGAATTATTTCCCTCCAGATGACGATGCATATCTTCTATCAATCAATAATGAAAGGACCCAACCAGGAATTTGAGGGGTCATAAAGAAAAACCGTGCAGCTAAAGCGGCCCATGTCTTATTTGACTTCAATGAAAAATTGTGTCTTTTTTTTCAATTAAAGAAGAAAAAATTCACATCTTTCAACAAAATTAGCAGAGTGGAACGTAATCAAAAATAGGTAGTTTTCGTTCAATTTTCTTTCAAAAAATTTTAAAAATTTCAAAAAAAAAGCAAAAAAATCAGCGTCTGCACAGAAGGCTGGCTGGACGTAAAATCAGCGACTAAAAAATTCCAGAATATTTGAATACAAAAAAGCGGAAAACTGAGTACAAGGTAATTAGGTTGTAAATAGAATGAAGCGGAGAAGGGTAGGTAGAGTGAAAAAATACACCAAACCAAAAAGTGTTTGAAAATGAAAGAATATAATTTGAATAAAATTGGAAAAATAAAAAAAGTTGGAAATGAATACTTCCCTCATGAATATATTTAAAAAATCAGTGCATAAGAAAGTCTGGGACAATTGAAATGAAAAAGGAAACAATTCAAGACATGAACAAATGGATTATGATTCAAAAAATACAATTAGAGATCTGCAAATTTGTCAATGAATTTAAACCATCGGAATAAGTCGCCAATTATCTGATTTGTATTTAGTGCATTCGGTTTCGAACGATTTCAATGAGTCCTGTTAACGAATTTACCATGATGGGATGGTTAGGATTTTGTGCAAAAACTTCCAGCAATGAAAGATGTAGCTGTTCGTACTCTTCGGGACGTAGATCCCATCCGGATATGATGTTTCGAAGAGCGGTGCACACCAGATCGAAAAGGTGATACACATTGTTGAGTGGTCGACGACCGTTCCATATTTCAACTAACTCGCTACATTCGACGAAGATTAGATCGAATACAGGGAGAAGACTTGGAATCTCTGTGATTTGCCTCCTCGATTGTTCATCCAATTTGGGATATAACGCATTTATCGTTTGCAATCCGTTAAGCAAGTCCTCGACACATTCAACTTTTCTTTCGTCCCATGAACCGTCCCCTAAACCGGCAGAGATGTGCGCAACCACTTTCTGGTAATAACCAATAACATTCAATCCGGGTACTGTGTGCAACTTGGCGCCAGTGAACAGCTCCCAGTAGCATTTGAATCCTTCTGTTGGACTCTCCAACAAAATTTGGGCGATTTGGCTTCTTTGCGTTTGAGTGACGTTCTCATTGTAGAGAGTGCTGAAAAATTTTATTTGTAACTATCGATATTTAATATTTGAGGAGCTAGCATTTGAGGGGAATGCTTCGGTTCCCGTTAAATTTTTCCAGCTGTAGTTTTTCAAGACACATTCTCTGAGAGAATTGAGATAGGGTCAATGGAAAAAAAAACCAAAATTATCCTTGGAGTCTGATATTGTATGTGCGTGGGTACAGGGCTACTCTAAGACTTTTGACAATAATAACTATAGACGACGCCCCTCCTGGGCGCGAAAAAAGTACTATTATGACCATTTTTTTTGTTGGGGCCAAGTTTATACAGTAACCCTGAAGTAGAGAAAATTTTTCAAAACCCGAAAAATGAGTCTTTCTAGATGTAGACCCTTAAGTGCAAGTTAGTTGTTCTAGGCTGTGTGCAGAAAGTGTCAAATATTCTCTTTTTTATTTCTGAACGTTTCTCAAAAAAATGCATACTTGTAAAATTCCGCGCCGGGCCGGGCCTGAGAAAATTTTCAAGGCCGGGGACCGGCCCGGAAGGCCCGGTATAAATAAATCTGCATTTTTGAGCTAAATTTTGAGCTCTCAATATAAGTTTTTTCCATTTTTTTTTGGTTTTTTTGGATTGTTTATCTGTTTGATCTAAAAAAAATCGAAAAATATGTGTTTTTTTAAAAATTTCAAAACTTGTGAAATGACGGGCCCGCTTTGCCGGGCCGGGCCTTCGAAGTTCGGAAAAAAGCCCGGCCCGATATGAGAAAATGGAAATTTTGAAATTAGGCGCGTTGGCTATAAAACCCACTCGTCCTTAAAATTTTATTTCCAAAAAAACTGTTTTGATTTTAGGAATTTTCTCGAATTTCGTCTCTGTTTTTATTTTGCGAAAAAATAGAGAGAAATACAATTTATGAGATGACCAATGAACTACAATCTTTTCCATATCAAAACTAAAATTAATTGAGGACTAATAGGATGTTTCTGTTACTCACCAATATGTCACCAAGCATTTTATCGCAGAGCACACGTCAGTCCTCGCCAAAGCTTCAGTCGGTGTCGTGTTGTCTATATGATTGACAAACGTTTTGAAACAAGTGGTCAACAACTCTTGATTCTCATTGTAGTCCATCCCGTCCAGAAAGAATTGCTTGATTTTTTCAAACACGCGGTCCATCATCGAAAATTGTTCCTGTTCGTGAAAATGGTGGAGCAGTTTCAGACTTGCTCTCAGATCCACTGAAGTCAGCACCGTCACACCTTCAATATCTCCGATGTTTTCGCAGTCTGTTCCTGAAAATGGATTCTTGCAAACAAATTTAACTTAGTAGGATACTTACCAAACAAACAGATTTTCTGAATCGTGTTGTTTCGCATTAACAATTCGCCCAACTGAACAGCAATGATGTGCAGGTACGAGCAATTAATGTATTCAAGCTTAGGCAGAATTTCATCGGCTTTAACCATAAATTCAATGGTTTTACATTCTCCATCACGGCGTTTCCTGAAACAAAGCAAAACGATGAATATCGAATTATCATAAACTGGTCTTACTTGTATCTGGATAAATCAAGGTTCCTGAGATTTTGTAGCTTGAAAAGCTCATGAAAATCGTCCTGACGATAAACTGTTAGATTCCTCATGATGAGCGTCTCGAGATTAATAAAGTAGGAAATTCCTTTCATGTCATACAAAGTATCACAGGACACATTGAGAGACTTCATTTGATGAAAGGTCCTCGAGAGCGTTGGAAACGTTGTTCTATTTGCTTGCTCAAAGACAAGAGTCCGGAGATTCGGCAGATATCTCAGAATCTGAAACTATTTTTTCAGTGTTTTGGACAACATTTTGGACTTACCTCGTGCAGCCATTTGCCATGGTACAAAGAAGTTGCAACAACAATGTAGTATCCACCAAGATCTGAATATATTGTTCTAATGAAATTAGTTATCTCGTGTTTTCTTACTAGCAAATCGATACTTTTGCAAACTGCAATTTATTTTGAGTTTTTTCAAGTCGCATTTTGCAACTTCAGAAACGTCAGCTTCAGTAATCAACTTATGAGTTAGATCAACTTCTTCCACTGAGAAAACCGTGTAATTGGACGGGTGAACGGGATTCAAGGAATTCATCATTCCATTAAACAAGATTTGTTTGAGTTTTGAAGGAACATTTTCGTTGACCTTGATTCTTGCTGAAGATGTTAGGTTTAAATTTTTTCTCGAATCATAGACACTCACCATTGCAATGATAAACAATACACTTTTTCAATGCTATTTTGAACAAGGTGGGGACCTCCATTCTTCGGGATGAATGAAAACGGGAGGATGTTTCGGGGATCTCTGCGAGCTACCAAAGCTTTGCCAGACTGTAGGGTTTTCGGCTCCTACCAGTTATTACAGACCACTGGTGGATTCTTCCTGTAAATTCAAAGTTTATTTTGATAGACTATTGGCTTAACGACTAAGACGCCTTGCAAAAATTATTTGCAGTGAGTTTTCTGGGGAGAGGAAAAAACAACAGACGCTAATTAAGAAGATGAAGGGAAGAAAATGTGTATGTGATATTATAAAGTTATACAAATTATACAAATTATACAAACTATACAAATTATACAAAATATACAAATTACAAATTATTATTACAAATTATACAAATTATAATTATTATACAAATTATACAAACATACAAATTATACAACGCCACAAAAACCCCATTCATCTATCCATTCGTAGATATTCAGTGGTGTTGCAACGATGGCTTAAGATAAGAAGTAATTACTGAAATTGTGGATTTTGAATAGTAGAAAGAAGAAATCTGATGGTAAAATTTCCACATTATGAAAGTCTTTGAAACGGCTTTTCGGCAGCTGTAGACTTTGGACCATTAAATATCATTTAGTGTAAGCCTCATAAAAAAACACTTGAGAAGGGGAGAAAAAAAGTGAAAGGGGAAACGGATCTTTCTAAAGATCCCAGTTCTCAAAAAATGTCAACGGATCCGACATGAAACAGAAAAAAACAATACATGCATTGGTTTCCGACAAGAGTGATGCGAAGAAGAACAGAAGAACCGAAAAAATGAAAAACCACTTCATTCATGTATAAGAACGATGCTGATGAGCATTAATACTTTTTCTGTTTTATGCCGGATCCGTAAACATTTTTGACAGCTGGGATCTACAGACGAATTCTTCTCCTTACTTGGAAAGATGCCTTTCCCCTTCCGACTTTTCCCTTCTCTCAGATGCTTTGCCTTACTGCTTCCAGTAGGATAATTTACAGCCTGTTGCGATATTATCTGCTTATTTATGTTTTTCGAGTGTTCAGAGCAATCCTTGTAATGATGAAGTGTTCAATGGAGTCTGCTTTAACGGATATGTTGGTTCCCAGACGGCAAAAACTCACATTCATAGCGTCTTTTGTTATGCATCCTTCTCAGATTCTTTTTTATGATTGGTCAGAAATCTACAACTGCAGAAAATACGTCGCAAAAACTTTCAAACTGTGGAAATTTCAACAAATTTGGATTTGAAAAAAACAGGCACCTGAGAATTTGAAAATGGACGTCTGTTTTGATATAGGAAAAAGCGCGACAAAATCGTAATTTCTTAGGCTTTCGCCTTGTTTTAGTCATTTCCGCAATTAAGCTTGGTTTTTCGATAAACAATATATTCTAGAGATGCTAATCTTATTGCCATAAAAATTCTAAATTCGGTTCAGAAAATCACTGAATTCCCAGAAATTTTTTTTTCATTATAGTGTGCCGATTTTGGGGCGGAGCCTCGTAAATAGGCACGAACGCAGCCCGTGAAATTTTTCAAGTGTCAGTTTTTTTTTTCAATTTGACTGTATGAATGATGTATTACGAATGTGTACGGTAACAGCATAAAAAACAAATTTCTAAAAATTCTTTCCTATCAGTGTTCCTTTTTCTACTATTCAAGATCACCAATTTATGTTTCTACTTCTTAACTAGAGCCATCATTTCAACATCACTGGTTATCTACAAAAGGATGAGCAAAATTGACAGTAGATATTTATTCATTCATTCATTTACCAGCCATATGTTTTCCGCGCCTCCGAAGCTCCAAACAGCTGGCTAATGGTTTTTTCGGATCGATTTAATCCAGTTTTTTTATAGGTTCGTCGCTCCGCTCTTCACGTTTCAATTTCTTAATCTCAAGAAGTAGAGCATTTGCTCAATCCTCCCCTACAGGGCGGCCAATAAGTATAGGACAGTTTTGAAAGCTCCTTGGCCCGGCGCCAAGAGATTATTTTGTAAATTTTCGAAACGTTCAGAGCGGACCCTATATAAGCAGTGAATTATGACATTTGGTGTCATTTTCTTTTTTTGTACGGCATAATGAGGCACAAGAGGACGTAAAGATTTTCGCTGATGAAACTCTTATGAACCGTCGTAATCAGATACAATTATTATCAAAAGGTGACAACAAATCTCCTAAACGTTTTTTATCTTCAAACCGTCTTTTTCATGAACGCTTGGAATCAAGGCAACGGGTTCAATTTTTTGGGTTTTCGTTAAATTAAGCATAAAAATCAGCTTGCAGGTCTGCCAAACGATATATCTGATGTATAATTTGTTGCCTTGGACCACTCAGCACTCTGCCGGACGTTTTTGGAACCATCAGTAAGACTGGGCACCGTTTTCTGGATCGAAATTCATAATGCTGGTTTTAGACGCTCATTTTCATAAATACCTCGGCAAAGATTTGAGGCCTGCTAACTCCACGGATTTCAATCTGATGGACTTTGATGAGACTTTCGAAAAGCAAAGTTTCAGAAATCACATACAGCTTTTTGGACTTTCGGAAATGCGCATTTCAAAAGTTCTGAGGCGATATGGACTTCAACTAGAGTCGACTCACAGGCGATTTTTTATCAAGCGTTTGGAAACTTCTGTCGATGCTCGTGGTTCTAATTTCAATTTCTTGTTTTGAAAAGAAATTGTTACGTTTTTTGAACATTTTGACAAAGCTATTACAGTCGAAAAACGTTTTTTTTTTGAAAAATGGGACAGTTTTAGAAACGTCCTAAACTTATTGGCCACCCTGTTGTTTTGGGCACAGCCAAGCTCTTATTTGAATACCTAACAGTCAACAGGCTCATACCAGGAAGGACCGACACGTTTAGCGTTATATTAAAGAAGATTCACAAATTCAAAAATCGTAAGATAAAGAAAAAAGTACATGACAAACAGATTCCGGAGGAACGAATGAATTCTGGTAAGATGGAGTGCAGAGAATGAGCTAATAATATTTCAAAAAGAACATTAAAAAGTGTAGAAGGAGAGGGAAAAGTATTGAGAGAGATAATACACATTACATAAAGCACACTCATAAAAAAACGTAAGATAGAAAGTGTGGGCCATAACTGCGAAATTGCTCTGCAGTATCTTAATCATTTTACTGAGCGTTCCATTGGCAAAAATTGATGTCTACCTTTAGCTTCAGCTCTTTTCTGTTTGAATCTTGTTTTTCGATGTGTTCGACCATTTGGATATATGAAAAGTTTGATTTTGATTCACTTTTCCCAACATTATTTTTGATACGCATTTTTTTATCTATTGTTTGTCGCATGTGTTCAAGAGAGTAGAAACCATAAAGGATGTTACGTTTATCAACTTTTGAAACACGTTCTCTGTAGAACTCAACTGCAAGTCTATTTTCCGCTGTACAGAAAAATTTAAACTAGTTTTAATGCGTTGATTTTAAATATTTATATTGAAAGTCGGGATACTTTTGAATGAAAATATTTCCTATCAAATTTCGTTTTTCTACAACTCAAAGTCCTTTCACGATTTTGGAATCGTAAATTTTCTTTCTGCATAAAACGTTAGACGCGGCTATTGGTCCTCATATCAGGCCATTTCGTTTCGGGGTTTCAACTAAGAGTAAGGCTACAACCAAAACTGAAACTGACTATCCGCACCACGACTACGCATGTACACAGTTGCACCAGGTGGACCTCAAGTAAAAAGGGAAGGGTGTAAATACTCTACCGTTTGATAAAGAAAAAACGAAAAGTGAAAAGCGGAGCGACGAACCTATAAAAACAACTGAATTAAATCGAGCCAAAAGGACTATTAGCCAGCTGCTTAGTGCGCCAGAGGAGCGGCAAACAGATTGAACACGATTGAACACTCCATCTTTACAAGGATTGCTCTGAACAACATAAAAAGGCAGATAATATCGCAACAGGCTGTAAATTATCCTACGGGAAGCAGTAAGACAAGGCATCTGAAAGAGGGGAAAAATCGGCAGGGGAAAGGCATCTTTCCAAGTAAGGAGAAGAATTCGTCTGTAGATCCCAGCTGTCAAAAAATGTTTACGGATCCGGCATAAAACAGAAAAAGTATTAATGCTCATCAGCATCGTTCTTATACATGAATGAAGTGGTTTTTCATTTTTTCGGTTCTTCTGTTCTTCTTCGCATCACTCTTGTCGGAAACCAATGCATGTATTGTTTTTTTCTGTTTCATGTCGGATCCGTTGACATTTTTTGAGAACTGGGATCTTTAGAAAGATCCGTTTCCCCTTTCACTTTTTTTCTCCCCTTCTCAAGTGTTTTTTTATGAGGCTTACACTAAATGATATTTAATGGTCCAAAGTCTACAGCTGCCGAAAAGCCGTTTCAAAGACTTTCATAATGTGGAAATTTTACCATCAGATTTCTTCTTTCTACTATTCAAAATCCACAATTTCAGTAATTACTTCTTATCTTAAGCCATCGTTGCAACACCACTGAATATCTACGAATGGATAGATGAATGGGGTTTTTGTGGCGTTGTATAATTTGTATGTTTGTATAATTTGTATAATAATTATAATTTGTATAATTTGTAATAATAATTTGTAATTTGTATATTTTGTATAATTTGTATAGTTTGTATAATTTGTATAATTTGTATAACTTTATAATATCACATACACATTTTCTTCCCTTCATCTTCTTAATTAGCGTCTGTTGTTTTTTCCTCTCCCCAGAAAACTCACTGCAAATAATTTTTGCAAGGCGTCTTAGTCGTTAAGCCAATAGTCTATCAAAATAAACTTTGAATTTACAGGAAGAATCCACCAGTGGTCTGTAATAACTGGTAGGAGCCGAAAACCCTACAGTCTGGCAAAGCTTTGGTAGCTCGCAGAGATCCCCGAAACATCCTCCCGTTTTCATTCATCCCGAAGAATGGAGGTCCCCACCTTGTTCAAAATAGCATTGAAAAAGTGTATTGTTTATCATTGCAATGGTGAGTGTCTATGATTCGAGAAAAAATTTAAACCTAACATCTTCAGCAAGAATCAAGGTCAACGAAAATGTTCCTTCAAAACTCAAACAAATCTTGTTTAATGGAATGATGAATTCCTTGAATCCCGTTCACCCGTCCAATTACACGGTTTTCTCAGTGGAAGAAGTTGATCTAACTCATAAGTTGATTACTGAAGCTGACGTTTCTGAAGTTGCAAAATGCGACTTGAAAAAACTCAAAATAAATTGCAGTTTGCAAAAGTATCGATTTTCCTCTCTCCAGAAAACTCACTGCAAATGATTTTTGCAAGGCGTCTGTATAACCGTTCTGTATATGACCGTTCTGTGTACGTTTGTGTGTCTTCATTGCATGGTCTAGAGGGCATGAGAGACGTCGGTCTGCCAATGGTCCGTCTGTTACATTCAAATCGCCAATGACCCAAAATCAAAAAGATACAGAAGAGAAGGAGGTCTGATTCATTGTGGTCAGTTTATAGTAACTTTTTTTTAATCTTTTGTTTTTAAACTCTGCCTTTTAGGAGCCCGAAACTTCAATAAATTAAAAACAACAATCATCTGAAAAAAATCTGAAATATTTGATTTATTTTGCTTATCATCAGTACAATTGACTCTTCCTTCATGATTTAATTTTTTATGTGTGTTTTTTTATTCCTTGAACTCATGCATCGGATATTCGATTCCCAAACTTTTTTCGGTGGAAGGAAATCGATTGCAGAAAGGAAATTTTCGGCCAGCTGACGTCATTTGCCAATGCCAGATGCGTGCCGTTGCGTGTTTTTCACGCAACAACATAAGAGACGCAATGTGTTCCGTAGAGCGCACTTTCTTGTTTTGCAAATTTTTTGCTTTTTTAGGATTATTTTGAGCTCGTGATTTCTCGTCTCAAATCACTGTTTTTACTACCAAGTAAGTATTCATAATTTTTTCTGATTATAATAGCCCATTTTCACTTCTTTTCTGGTTAGACTGGTATGAATAAGGCTCGCATATTGCCTGGGAGAGAGGGTGGTGACCTGTGCCCCCCAGTACGCACGCATGCTGGTCTCTTTCTCTATGTATCCATATTGCCAGGCCTTTTTCCCTCTTCTCTTTATTCGTGCTGATCGATTTTTCGATAGAATGCTCACAAAATACTTGTTATTTTTCAGATTCATCATCAAAATTGGGTAATCCAATAAAAAATGGAACGTTTTGAGCATGCCAAAGACGGCCTCTCCGTCAAATACATCGCCGATGTGAGTTTTTCTTGCCTAAAATTGAATAATAAAGGTTTTTTCCAGGAGTTTGAAACGAAGACAGTTGTTATTCCTATGGCAACCTATGCGCAAATGAACAAAGAGTTCGACAAGGCTTCCGAAATCACTCAGTTTTTGAAAGCTCTCCCAGGTATTCAAGTCGAACTGCCGATTGTGAGTTACCAACATTTTTTTTCAATACAAAAGTGGAATAAGAAACGATCCGTATCTTGTTACTACATGGATCGGGCAGACATGTCTATTTAAAACTGCAATCAAGCCAAAGACAGTTAATATTGACTCGTTTTATTTCAGCTTCACGAGTTCTGGAGGATCAAAATGATCGAATTCAACGAAAAAAGGAGAATTGCACGACAGCAATATGTATGTTTATAATCGTTTGTTTTTGGAGCCTACTTGATTTATTTTCAGGAAAAGGAACAGGCCAGAAAAATTGGATCTGGGGAGTGCGTACCGTTCATCCGTTCGCTTCAGTTGGCAGTTCAAGCAAGAAACAAAGCACAGGAGGCGGCACGAAGAGCGACTGAAGAAGAAGCGTCTGTAGCACCGGTCACACCAGTTAGTCTTTTGTTTTTTTTTCAAAAATAACGTCTCCTACCTCTACAGGGACTTCTAAAAATTTGTCACCCACCATCCAATTTCAACCTTAGATCGACATACCAGTTCGAGATACACAGTTTTAAGTTGGAAATTCCAGAAGTTCAGATCTGAGCGCATTATATGTTTTAGCGTGAGCCTAATTTTTTTGTCAGTGAGGATGCATGATATTGGATGATGGGCGACTGATCTAATGATAATGAAGGCTTGCTTAGTTCCAAAAAAGCAGAGTTGAATTTTGTATCTCGGCTCGGCCAGGGCAGCTGATTTTTGATTGTTAGACTGGTGTTTGAAATCATACCACTAATCCCATCAACAAATTTTCAGAGTATTGCTATCACGTCTGCCACTACCCCAGGACCACAGACTCCAAAAAACAATTCTACTCCAGAAAAAAAGGCTGCAATTACTCCGAAAACGGAGAAGAGATCAGCAAGTAGGAGAGCTGGAGGAATGTCTCAACCAAAACAAAGCTTTGCGGTGAGTACCAATTCTCAAATAAGAGTTGAACTCCATCGGCTGTACAGCGGGCTAGACAGCATTTTTCATAATTTGGGCGTGTTAAGTATTAGGTTGAACCGAAAGTTTCTTTCTTTTTCGCAGTGTTGTTTTGAAGGCTCGATTTCTAGTTTTCAAATGGTGTACCAGGCTAATTTTTTTCTTGTGAGAGAGCTGTGTTCAGTGTCTATTAGATCGTAGATTTTTAAATATTTATCTCGCTTCGTGTTAGAGAAATGTCGATTCTTTTGGCCCTTACCCGACTGCGCATACGCAATTTGATTATATTTTTATTTATTTTTGTTTTTCAAATACCCGGTAGTCACAAGTAAATGGTGAATGAATATGGTGGACATGTTCCGTCATTGCATACAGTTTGCCTTTGGTTCGAAAAAATTCGCACAGGGGAGTTCAGTTTGAAAGATGGCAACGGCCTAGTAAGTTGGATTTCGATCAATTGCTAAAACTCGTGAAGGCGGATCTATTTCAATCCACTTGTGAAATGTAATAGGCATTGTCCGGTAGTCAACCAAGTATTGTGCTTTGCCTGATTGAAGTCTCTTGGCAACTTCAAAAACCACTATAACTACCGCATTGTAGAGTTAATAATTAGAAAAATTGTATTTGACAGTCGAATCAAAACGAGGAGAAAAACCAAAGTTCACTTCCAGCGCGACAATGCAAGGTTGTTCGTGAGTAGAGTGATCAGCAAGAAAGTCAGGTCGCTTGGCTGAACTATTCTTTTGCACTCGCCGTATTTTCCGGATCTTGCCCTTTTGAATAAATGCTTGCTTGGGGCTCTTAAACGTTATTTTGATAGAAAAGACTTCGATTGAAAAGATGCCATCGAAAAGGAGTTCACTCCCTTTTCCAATCACAGCCCTCCTCGTTCTGGGCCGATGGAATCAAGAAATTAGCGGAGCGTTGCCAAACAACTGTCAATGCTCATGGACGTTACTATCATTAATCTAGCTCCCTCCGATTTGAGAAAAGTTTGATCATAAACATTGTCGAAAAAGAAAGATACTTTCGGTTCAACCTAATAGCTGACTTTTAACATTATTAGGCTAGGATGGGAAATTATATTATTAATCACCTCACAAAAATTTTCAGAGTACTTCCGTCTTGACTGCCACCACATCCTCCGCACCACAGACTCCAAAGGCAGTTACCGCGAAACCAAATGCCACAGTCGCTCCGAAAACGAAGAAGAGATCAGCATCTGGAAGAGCTGGAAACTCGCCTCAGCCAAAGCGAAGAACTTCGGTGAGTACTTCTTTTTTGAAATCATAGTTCAGTTTCAAAGATAGACTAATAGAGATTCGAAAAAGGATAGCTACTCTTGTTAGGATGTGCTGAATAAAAATTGTTCTGGACCAGCATTCGAAAATCATGAAAAATTGCAAACAATAATCTTGATAACTATACGGTTCGGATGTTATTCGAAAATATAATATCTCACACCTCACGAAAACCATACCACAAGAATTTTCAGAGTCTTGCAATCTCGACTGTCGGAAATCCCAAAACAACTCCCGCCTCATCGAGAAAAGCTACAGTCACCCCGAAAACAAAGAGAGGGCACCCGAAGCAAACCACTGCGGTGAGTATTAGTTCTTTCAAGCCATAGTCGAGTTCCATCGGATGGACAGCGGGTTAGAGTGAATAATTGAAAACTACGCCGCGTTTCAGAATAATGATTTGAAAAGAAGATTAGCTAGTCTTAATAAGTTATGCGGAATGTGAAAATTTTCAAAATACAGCCTTCATTACAACGTTTCATGCTTGTAGCAGAATTAAGATTACAAAACAAAGAAAGTCATGATGAGTTGCGCTGAATGAAATAGTCTCTAAATAAACCCAGCTTTCTATTTGTATAGTTTAAGTACGCAATGGTTTTGAGGAAGGCAGATTCAAAATATATCAATTAAGGATTGATCATTTCTACTTGTTAAAAGCCAAGCTGTAAAACTTCAAATAATTTCAAAGTCTTCAGAACTCGGATTCCGTCAAGACATCTGCTACACAACAGACTCCATCAACAATCACAGCTACACCCAAAAGAAAAAGTAGCGGGCGCCCGAGGAAAAGCATTCTGGTGAGTATTACATTCTAGACTGACTAGAACTTTTAGTCGTGAAGAATAAATACGTAATCATTACGTGAAGGGCAGATTCAAAAATATTAACTTCATTCTGATGATTTCAACTTGTTAGAAGACGAATTGGTCTAGAAACTGACTCGAAAATCTTGTTGAATCAGCATTCGTATACAAATTTCGAAAACATAGCGCAAAAATTTGTAAATTACGTATGCACTGGCCGAAGTTTACTTAAAATATAGCTGGAAATGTTAAACGATTCTCGCAATGTTTCAGAATTCGACTTCTGGCGACGGACCACAGCAGACTCCAACAAGGATCAAAGCAACTCCTAAAAGAAAAAGTAGCGGGCGCCCAAAGAGGAACGTTCTGGTGAGTATTAAATTTAACAAGATCTGCAGTACGAAAAAAAACTTGTTAAAATGTTCAGGATTCGGCTTTCAATGAGACATTGGCACCAACAAAGAAGCCAACAAAAGCCAAAGTGACGCCAAAAACAAAAAAAATATCATCACATGAAACAGCTGGCAGTTCATCTCGACCAAAGCGTAATGCGGTGAGTATTAGTTTATTTTTCAAATCAAAATGTCGTTTCTCCGGCTGAAAAACGGATTCAAGTAAATCGTTCAGTAGGAGAATCATGGTTAAAAGCTACAGTGCTGTCAATATCTTTAGGACGCCCCCCCCCTTGATTTTGGCGGTTCCAGGAGACGGGAAGAGCCATCAAAGTTCTGTAAACACCATCCGATTTAGGATAGAATAACCTAAAATACCTATTTCTGGCCGGTCAATATCTTTAGGATCCCCTGGAAATTTTGAAATCTTGGTCATTTTTTGTCGAATTTTCGATTTTAAACTGAAAATTACTTTCAGTTTCTCGCTGTTTCGGTACACTTTTATAAGTAACTCAAAGAGTTTTCATTATTTGTCTTTTATACTTTCCAAATTATCTTTTTCCTTATTTTTTGCGTATTTTTGTAAAAGTGACCCAATTTGTCGCGCAACTCAAACTATTCAAAGAGAAAGGTCATGGAACATACATCATATGATGTTGGGAAGCTAATTAGGTATTGGTAGCGCAGGGCCACTTTTCTAAAATTAGGAAAAATTGGAAAAAATGATAATTTGGAAAGTCTACAAATCATTAAAATTATTTGAGATACTTATGAATGTATCAAAAAGCACGAAGCTGAAATTTATTTTCATTTTAAAAGAGAAAATTCGACAAAAAATGTACATGATTTTGAAATTTCTGGAGGGTCCTGGAGATATTGATCGGCCAGATGTAGGTCTTTTTGGTGGTACACTTATACGGAAAGTGGTAAAATCATGAAAATTTGTCCCCTGGGGTTATTTTACATCCTGAATCGAATGGAGTTTACAGAATTTAGATATCTCTTCTCGTTCTTCCGGAACCCCCAAAATAGAGGGGGGGGGGGCGTCCTAAAGATATGACCGCACTAAAGACCGCTGTACGATAGTTAGTCTTCTTAGGGTGTGCTGAATGAAAAAATTCTCAAAAGGAACCTTTCTTACTTGTGGTCTAGTTTGAATAAACAATGCTCTCGAGAAGGGCAAGGATAAAAACTATTGATCCACTCTGATAATTTTAAGTAACGTTTGAAGACAAATTGGCCTGGACAAAATTTAAAGGAGGCCAAACACCAAAAAAAAATTTTCCTGATATTTTGCATAGAGAACCCCCATGAGGGGTTGAACTGAAGACCGGCAGTTCAGGGGTACAGCGCCGCTACCGGCTGAGCTACGGGGGCGCGAAGGCACTGAGAGCTTAAAATTTGGCTCAAAAATACAGAATTTTTGACACCGGGCCTTCCGGGCCGGCCCGGAATTTTACAAGTATGATGGCAAGCATTGTGTTCATCTAGAAGAACAATCTTCTTTAGAAAAAACATAATCTGGATGTTACTTTCCGAATGTTGAATTTATAATTTCTAATTTTTCAAAGATTTCAAAAAGAAAGTAAAATATTTTTTGCAGGTCTCCTCCTTGAAGCGTAAATCTACCGGTGAAAAGACCTTAGGAAGTGAGAAGCGTCGCAGAATCAATTAATCCTCATGATATTTTCTGTAATGATCGGTTTTCTGTCTTCCTCCATCTATATCTGACTTTTTTTTGAACTTTCTTTACCCATCTATTTCTCCCAAAGATCTGAATCCTTCTGATGGTTTTTCATTCCAATATCTCTACATCTTTTCTTTCATAGCCCCCTAATAAAATCATAATGCATCATGTTTATTAATATTATTATATCACTTCCCTTTTATCAGTTTCTGGTGGTGAAAGCATCCCATCAAGTTCATCCTTCTTTTTTTTCAACTTTGTTAATTGCTGCTGAAATTGTTTCTTCTTTAAACTTAATCAAACTGTCAACAACTTGCAAAATCTTTTCTCATGTTCTCAAACTTTTCTATGTACGCGTGAAATAAAATAGTGTACTGCTTCCAGTAGAGTTATTACGTCTGGAAAACTTAAAATTCAAGAAAACATACTTGTAACGGGCCGGGTTTTTTTTTCCAAATTTCGGAGGCCCGGAATTTTATAAGTATGAAAAAAAAAACTGATTTTAATGAAGCACTTCTAATAAATGTTTGATGGTGAATGTAATTTATGGTTGAAATTCAGAAGAGTTCTGAAGAAGCTCTTTGAGAAATTTCGAGACTTTCCAGGGCCGCGCGGACGCAGCCCCGTAACGCAAAAAATGAGCTGTTGGCGAATCTCAACTCGAGACTGCCACACAGGTCAGCCCATCCTAAAGTGCAATGGGTAGGCCTCGCCATAGGGATTCCGTCTTCATGATCACGGAATACCCCCAGCCAGGTAAGTTTATGAGTCGCCGGGCTGTGGGGGTAAGGGTGGCGAGTGTACCGACATCTCCCGGATTCCGCCGTCCACTATGTTTTGCGTGCATCGTAAGCGGAGTCTCGCGAGAAGATGGAAAGAAGAAAGATGAGGAATCGCAAGAGGAACCCTAAAGAGAAGCGAGGACTCAGCGTGGACAAAACGTGGACTTGTGATCTTTGCAACAATTATAAATTTGAAAAACGAATAATGCTCAAAAATATTTATTCCCCCGGAAAAAAATGCAATTTAATAATCATCGCCTTCATCGGTTTCTTCTGGATTATAAGAGTCTCTCTCGGAGTGTGCACCTCCAACGTACGGATTGAAGTTCTCGGCAAAGTTCCGACGAATTGGAGAACCGGTAGAAGAAGCGTCCTTTTTGGAGTCCTTGGTAACATTAGTCGATGGAGTTATTTCGGTGGTAGTGATATTCAAAACGGCAGAAATCGGATTGAATGTTGTGTTGGAAGTGACCGTTGAATTTGTTCCTGTGTAGATGGATTCAGTGGTGGTTGAGTTGGTAGTCGTGGAAATCAGGGAGGCATCAGTAGTCGGCAGAGAAGTGTTGTATGATGAAGTTACTGAAGTATCAGTGGTGCTGGCGTTTGAAGGCGTTGTAGTGGCGATGACTTCGACGGTAGTAACGTTCACAGTAACCGGAGTGGATGCAGTAGTAGAAGAATTCTTGTTGATAGCATTTTTCCGAGAGTAATGTTTTTCTGAAAACCAGTATACTTTTTAAAAGGATATCTACTGAAAACATTAACCTTTGAAAGCTTCACCTTCTTCCTTGATAGTCGCTTCCAAATCAGAGATTCTCTGATTGAATTCCTTCTCTTGGATCAGAAAGGCTAGAATTTCCATTTTCTCATTTAGCTTCACAGTGTCATCCACAGTCAATTTGTGTTCATCAGACGCTTCTTTCAAATGAGTGAGAAAATTCATTGATTCGCGTTTGTTCTCAGGATTATTCAACGGTTGGTAGAACTTCTTATAATAGGCTTCGATGGCAAGGACTTTGTTCCAGATTTGTTGTTGCAATACGTCTTGAATCGGTTTTCTCAACATTGTTCTCACCATTTTCACAACTTCTGGGAACGATGGATTGCTGAGTAGAATCATGTATTCCTCGTCTTTCAGAATGATGCGAACGATATCCTTGATCAGAGCTTTTTCGACGATTGGAAGGGCCGAATACCGAAGTTGTCCAGTCTTGTTGATAGTCTGATCTTGGAAAGTTTCCTGGACGAGGCTTAGATCATCATCGTCGAGTGGAGCATTAACAATATGATTCAAAGACTTGGAAGGTGGGAATAAGAACGCACCCGATAGTTGACGTTGGTTGTTACCTCCAGAATTTCCATTGATCAGTAGCTCATCGTTCAACGAATGGAGATGTCCGTCTTTGTTGAAATGGAGAACATGGCCGTTGTCGTTGAACTGATGATTGTCCCCATCTCCGTTGAAGTGATGGTTATGATTGTCGTTGTTGAGTTTCCGAGCGTACCCATTTCTACTGAAACTGCGAACGTTGTTGTTCAGCTGATGCGTATGTCCATCCCCATTAAAATGAAGAACGTGTCCATCATCGTTGAACTCATGAATGTGGCCGTCTCCATTGAAATGGTGCTTATGTCCATCTTCTATGAACTGTTTCATGTTTTCTGGAAGAGGCAGATTAGAGCAAAATTTAAAATCTTCATGACTTACTGAAATGCCTTTAATTCATCATTGGAGTTATAGTTTCCGTTGAAGTGGTTGACAGGATTGTCAAAGCTGACGACATCATCTGAATTTTCAGTCTGAACCAAATGATTCACTGGGTTGTCCATTCCTTTCAGTCCTCTACCATCACCGGAATATCTGTGTCTCCAAGAAAGAGAATTGAAGGTTCTATCAGGAGCTGGGAATATTATACGAGCGGAAACAGTTCCGAGTAGGAGAGAGAATAGTAGAAAACGTTTGGAAAGAATCATTTTTCCAAATGATGCCCTCGACTTAGATATGCCTTGCTTTTATAGATGCTTTGATTCGATTAACGCGAACTCCCTCGAATGGGAAAACTCGGGAGGATAAGGGAGTGGGGAAAAAATGAAAAAAAATTCGCTGCAAAACACCATGAGAAAACTCTCGAGACAGGGGTACTGTAGCTATTTCTTGAAATTTCCGATCTTTGAGACAAAATTGAATTGATTTTTTCAGCGATCGGAACCTGTATTAATTATCAATCTGTATACCCTAAAACCTGTAATAAAATTACTTTCTAACTTCTGCCTTTGAGCAAATTTATCTCGATTTTTGTCAGAATTATGAAAAAGCAATCAACTGATAAGTTTTTTCTCATAATGTCAGAAGTGATTTTCTAGTTGACACATTTTTGATATTTCTCATAGGAATCGAGATAATTACCCTCAAACTTAAAAATATGGGAACCCTTATTTTACAGGTTCTACGGTACCTGCACATTGATATTGGAAGTTTCAAATATGTTTGGTCTAAACATTTTCAAAGGGTGCCAGGTTGGTTCATTCTGAAAGGTTCATTCGGAAAACTTGCGGTTCAATTTTTTAAAAACAGATTTATTGTAAGAATAGTAAGTTCTTCACATTATTGCAAATTGCGCATGTGTGGTGGTGGCTCTGGGAGATCCTCCGCAATCAACGGTCAAGCGATATTGTTTCTTGTTGGATACAGGTTGCAGCGTCTTCTGCAGAGCGGGCAGTTAAGCTGCGGTCTTCGTCCTTGCAGGTTTTGCACCCGCACCATTCCATCAAGGCAGAAGCCACATGTCGCGTGGCCGCATTCTGTAAAGAGAACATTCATGTCTTTCACTTCTCTTAAATTTCGAATTTTATAGGTACGTTGTTTTTCTGGTTTCTACTTACCAAGCATGTAAGGTTTTGCTTGGCGGTTGTCGTACTGCCTATAACAGATGGGGAATTCGTGGCAGCGTCTGTACACGACCCTCTCCATTTCATAAAACTTTCTAGCTTCTTGGTCATGAACACGTTGGCCTTGATATTTCAATCTTTCCCAAATTATAACTACAGTAAAGGAAAGACGTTTTGAGTGGAACAATAGGTTTATTGGGTTTAGATCTAGGATCTTAAATAACAAACAGAATGAAAGCAAAGATCTCAGGCCTCGAGAGAACGATGGGGGGAATATTTATAGTCCGCTGATCTGCTGACGGTGGGTGGAGCTTCCGAGCAGCTTGCACTTTGTCTCCAGATGTCTGGTGATGGTTTGCCTTCTGATCTGAAATAATAAAGTTAGGGAGCATATGGGAACTGGAAGCGCAGCGCTGGGAATGTAACAGTTTCAGCCTATGTGTCATCTAATGGATTCGCCCCCGGGATTCCTATATCCCCTATGACGGTTTGAGCTTTGTGCTCTTCCGAAGGAATGTGAAAATGGGCTTATGATGAGAAAAGTGACGTAATGCAAAACTCCTCTAAAGGGTAAAAATACCCTTTACACCTCCCCCCGCTGATTAGGACCGTCCCTGGTCCTATGTGGAAAAGAGAAAAAAAAACAAAAAAAAATTTTTTAAACTTGCGATTTTGGATTAGGTCTAAGACCTTATAACCAACGGGCGGTCATGACGGAGAAGTTGGATTTGGCCTCGTGCGGGATCCTCCGGATCAGACGACTCCACGTTCCGTTGGTTGTGACCTTCGGTCTGTCGACGATGATGCAACAGATCCGTTTGGTCCTTGAGATTGCCACGTTTATACGGCGGCTGTCCTCGATGAACTCGGAATCCCTGAAGGACGAAGTCCGGGTGATCAGAATGATGACGACCTGGAATTCGTGGCCTTGAGATCTGTCGATTGTGCCAACGTAAAAGGGGGCATCTCCAAGAAGAGCGGCGACTTCTCCCGCTTGTGCTTTGTAAAAACACAAGATTCCTATGTCGTTTGTTCCGACACGCGTTTGGATGGTTCTGGCGATTCGAACAGCTGCTTTTGCTTCTTCAATGTTGGTGAGCGAAGTGCCTGCCTGTGTGTGTGACGATTGTAGATCTAAGATCTGTATTGGAAAATCATTCCCAAATTTGAGGGCGGCGGTGAATGCCCTCAGCTCGGCTTCCTTTTCCGGCGACCATAGGGACGCGAGGCGTTGATTGTAGAACAGCTCGTTGTACATCCTGGTCACTTGCGGTGGGCAGCGGCGGCCAACCGTAAGATCGATGATCGGGAGTGTCCTTCTCTTGATTGCTTCTTGGAGAACTCTGGAGATTGCAAATGCGGCAAGATCCTTTGGAAGGTCGGAGTCCTCAAAGGGGGGCAGCTGATGGATATCTCCGACGAGAGCCAACCGAGCTCTCTGGAACATGAGTGCCAACGCTGCCAGGGCATAGAGTGGGCATAGAGTCTTTCTCCCTCTGCGCCTCCGGGAGATACTCTTCTCTCGCCACTTCGGCCGCACCGCCGCCAACTGCGGCGTCCTCAGCACGCTCTTCCACTGGACGCTTCGCTTCTATAATTTTTAAAAGTTCACTAATCAAGATGGATTTCTGAATTTCGTTTCAAATGAATGTCTTCAGACAATTAAAAATGTGGAAAATGATTTTTTTTTTTGTGACTTTAGCTAGTTAAAGTTGTGAATAGCTAAGATAATTAAAACATTTCAGAAAACGTTTTTCTATGTAAAACATTTTCTATAATTCGCGGCGAAAAATAATGAAAGGTTTTAGTTAGGTTCAAGATTTCAGAAAGTCTTTAATCTACTTCTAATGTACCTCCACGACCTTCTCTGCCTCCTCTTCATAAACTAACTCTGGAGCTGACTTGTTGCTTGCTTTTTTCAGAATGAATTGACCATCATATCTGAAATTCAACATTTAAAGGTGAAAAAAAACAGGAACTTCTCACCCGGACATGTTGTGAGCTACGAAGATCACTCCTTTGTGTGCCATCCATTTTGTCATCCAAGACGCATTTTCAAATTAGGAATATTAATAAAAATCAGGAAGGAGTTTTCAGCTTGACTGAAAACTTTCGAAGGCCTCCGTAATCAGTTGGTGGCCAGTGGAAACTAAAATGACAATAGGTCAAAAAGTTTCCTACGATTTTTTGGAGGCGGTGCTACAAAGAATAGTCCTCGCGACTGTAAAGAAGGGGACCGAAGAGATGACACACACGGCAACCGCTTCTGTTTGCCTCAAAAAGTTCGTCAGCGCCAAAGAACTATTTTTTTCAAAGAGTAAGTGTAATAATTTTCAAATTCAAAGAGAAAAATGTTGAAGTTCCGAAAAAAAAACCGAGAGAAAATTCTAAGACAATCAAAGATAATGAAAAAACGAAGTCATCGCTAATAAAGAAGATAAAGAAGAGGTTTTTTTTTTCATTTGCTGGTCCGTTCTAATAGAAATTTTGAGGTCCCCTAATCTTTTAATCTTTTTCTGTTGCAGATGTGCATAGCACTAATGAAACATATTTTTCTCTCATTTCGTCATCCTGATGTAATCCAAAAAAGTCATTTCCTAAAAATGACGTCTGTTTTTCAAACTAACTTGTTTCTTTTTCGAACATTTCCTACATTGAGATGATAGGATCTCAGTTTTTTTCTGATGAACCTCAAAAAAAGTTTTAAAAAAACGGAAAAGTGTTCAAAAAACAGTAGACATAAAGGGAAATTGAAAAAACCAAACATTCAATTTGGAAAACATGGTTTCCTAATCTCAATGATTCGAGGATTCTGAAAAAAGACAATGTTTTTGTGTTTTGTTGCTGTGTTTCTGCATATCTTGAGAGAATGAGGTTTTTAGCGACATCTCGGGTTTTCTCAGCAACTTTCTGGAGCAGTCTGAAGATCTGTCGACTTTCTGGAGCAGTTCTGGAGCTTTTTAAGCGCGTCGCGTGCTCGCAAAGCGTGCGATGTTTACGTTTTGCTGACTGCCGGCAGATTCTAAAGGAGAACGAAAACTGTTGACCGAACGAGAAAATCTCAAAATTTCGAAAATTTATGAAATACTTGATGCTTTTAAGTGGAACGGATTTGAGGAAAAAATTTGGATGTGAATATTTTACAAATAGTACTCCAAGAAGACAAAAAACAGGTAGTTAAAGCTCTTTCGGTTATTCCAAACTATCTATTTCTTTCAGATCGGTTTTCTCATGGAAAATCTACAGAATTTTCAAGAAAATACAATGATAAGAAAATTGAAGATGTCAGCGGAAAGCTCAATGAAAATACGACACTTCTAAATGTACATTTTTCAATTGTCCTTTCATGTATTGTCATTTGATTCAATAAAAGCTCATTTCAAATGTGTTATTTTTTTTAATGCGAGTAAAGAGAAAGGAAGGGAGCGAACGCTCGCGCGGCAGCCGCTGTGGCACCTTTCTGCAGCATTTCTGGCAACTTTCTGGAAATGTTTTTTAGAAGGACGCAGAAATGCCGCAGAAAGTTGCTAGAACTGCTGCAGGAAGTTGTCAAGAAACCCCGTGAAGAACCTTAGCGAGCTATCTTCAACATTTCGTCATGATTCTTTCATCCTCTTAATTAAAAGAGTTTCAAGCTTAATTTCAACTAATGCGTATGTCCAAAAGTTGTACATTTTGTTTAAATGCAAGACGTATTTTAAATATTGTGGCGCCACGCCACATTTTCAATCTATCCTGAAAAACGTTTCGGTAGACTTTCAATTAAATTAGAAGGTTTGGCACTGAGAAATGAGTTTTCTAGCAGCTGCAATTTTTAGTGTTATCTGAATTAAGCTGTTCTGGGACCGTCTCATTAAAAATTTCATTTTTTGGTCAACCAAAGGGTCTCCAAGAAAGTGTCATTTTCCTTTCTTCTGCACAGGAAATCCAAATTTTCGTTCCGTTGTCAAATAGATTAAAAAACTACTCATTGAATGTTCAATGCATCGATGCATCGAATTTAAAGAAATCTTTGAAAGATGCGCTTAGAAAAATTGTTCTGCTCGGACGCAGTCAATTCTCACGCACCATAATCAATGTTTCCTAGAAATTCGCGTGGTTGGCTATGATTTGCCGTTTGATCTTATCCTCCTCGAATCAGGCTCCAACATCACATAAGGGCGTTAGGTTGACGTCTTGAAATATTAACGATAAAAATCACGAGAAAGTTGTCTGGCACTCTTAAAATGGACTTTACATTCCACTTCACCGGATGTCTGGTGATGCCGTGGTTTTTATTTGAGATCGGAAAGTATCATTTCTTTTTCCTGCTGAAACACAACTTCTGTAAAAGACCAATGCATGATACATGTTTCATTTGTTTTCTGAAGATTCGGAAGATCTGACTGGTTTGTTTGAAGTTTGAAATTATTCGAGAAATTTGTTCAGATTTATCGGAATTCCGGGATTCTGGACATGTCGACGTCAATGCGCTCTGAATTTTAAATTTCGTATTCTAGTGAATTGCTTCAGGATGATGCTCTGACTTGACGAAATTAGAAAATGACTTCTGAACGACGTTCCCTTTTTCTGGAAACAGTTTTCCCAATTTCGTTCATTTCTCCTTTATCTGAAACAAATAGTTCGAGCAGAGAGTTTGATCCTGAGCTCAGGAAGAATCTGAATCAACTTTCCATGAAAAACAAGTAAAAAAAAAATTAACATTCACATCTTTATTCGATTCGAGTGTGGCATTAAAATCACGGCGTCAGGAGAAAAAAATTGGGAAAGAAACTTTTTTGGGGCATGAGAACGGGGGAGTATTATTAGTTTGAATCAAGACTGTGGGGATAGAGGACAAGAATGGTTTAGAAAGATGTTTCTGGCATCGGAAGCTTGTTGAAGTCGAGGAACATGGTAAATTCCTTTGGCAAGTTGCAGCCATCTCTTTTGCAGAAACACTGCATTGCGATCTGGGTTGAGCGTCCAATTTGGAGAGCCTGAAATTAAACAAATAAGATCTCTATTTCTGGAGCCAATTTCTTTAACTCACCTCTTGAAGACAGAAATTGAGCATGGCGAGTCTGGGGTGTGTGATGTGGAAGAAGTTGAGGACGTTGGTGTAGTCGTCGGAGCCAATTTCGACGCCGTTGACGTATCCTTTGTTCCAGTTCTTTGGGTCCGGCATGTAGGAGCAGAAATCGTAGATCGGCTCACTCAGTTGATGTTTTCCAGAGAAGTGGTTTCCAGCAATCCTTTCCTCGATTGGCTCCCAGCACCGGATCTTTTTGGTCAGCTGCTCATGGGCATCCTCAACGGTATTCTTGGCCGATGGGCGGACACTAAAGCCCGAGGTGGCAACAGCCATGAAAGCGAGAAGCATAGCAGTTCTGGAGAGCATGGTGGGAAGTTGAAGAAAGATAAGTGAATGAGACTTCTCAAAAGGCTGGGAAAATGACGAAGAGTAGTGCTCAGAACGCTGTTTTTAAAGGGAAACTAAAAATGGGCGGAGCCATTTTTGGTGGAATATAGAGAAAAGGGGGCGGAGCGACGTGGAGGATGGAACGCTCTAAGAGGAAAGCAAAAAGGAACCGGCGGAGCAGTGGTCGGAGCACGACAACGAAGATAATGTGTTTTGAAGAGAAACTGAAACACCGCTGTCTCAGCAGTACCACATATGTGCCTGGCACTTGCTTCATGCTCTGTTTATTTATAGAAAAAAGTAAAAAAAAAGTGCATGTCGTTCAAGGAGAACAAAGGTTCCGAAGCTTAGTTACATCATAAAAATGAGGAGTACGAGGCAACTGCAATAGCTAAACAATAGATCCCAAGAATTCGGGATGCGTTTATTTGGTGGAATAAATCCCACAAACGACGCAACACAAGTACAAACTGCTCTGTCGCGCAGAAGAATCAGTAAATGATAAAGATCACAACTAAAGCAGAGAAAAAAGAACAATGGCTTTCATGTCAAACCGTTGATTGAGAATTCAGTGATGTCTATCCTTGCATTCTTGACAGGCACGGATGGATTTGAAGCTCATAATTAGGTCTATTGCTACTTGCAATAAAACATTGTTTGAGTTATATTTTTCCGGTTCAGTCGTTCATTTGAATGTCAATCTCCGGAAATTGATTGTGGAGCCCTGAATATGTCTGGCACTGGCCGGAATGAGCGGAGGCCGTTTCGCCTTATGCATAAAAAAGTGTACGTGTGGTTTAAAAAAATTTAGAATTAATTTCCGGTTTAGTCGTTCGTTTGAATGCCAATCTCTGGAAATTGAATGTGGATAAACGTTAGCATTCCGGATATTGAAATGGATCTTTAGAGTTTCCGGTTTTAGCACTAGTAAACTTGATGTTCTAGTAAATCTTGCTTAAAAACTGCAAAATCTGCAAATTCTTCCATTCTCCTGTGCCAAAAAGTCGTATTAAAGCAAGTGTGGGACAAACACAAGAAACTGATAAATCCAACTGATAAGGGCATTTGATATCAGTTTCGCTAATTCGGATTACAGTAGGATATCACATTTTTAATCCAGACACAACGATGTACATGTCCTATATTTATCCAAATAATAGTTCTCAGTTTATGATTTTTGATTTCAGCACGTTAGAAAACCAAAAACGTTGATGCAGTTATTCTAATGTAAGTTCATATAATGGGAATTATGAAACACAGTGTCTAAATTCACATCACATCATCTGATCTGACTAGGGAAGGTTGTTTGTGGGGTATGGGACTTCGTTATGAGACCTATATCATTCGAAAGCTGAAAATGAGACATTTTCAAAAATGTAATTTGATTTTGCTGCGGACTTACCATATTCGAGAAAAGCGAGTTTGAAATCTCATTTTTTGAAAAAGCAAAGGGGGGACCCCATGGTGACTTTTTTTCAAAAAAAATTTTTTTTTGAAAAAACATGAAAAACTTACAGGATCATACTGTGTTCTCTGAAACAGTTTGAAATTGTGGTTACATGCTTTTGAAAACTATTTTTGAGTCATTTTTTCAAACCACTTTTTGACTTTTGAGAATAGAAAGTTAATGGTTTACAAAAGATTTTGGATGTTTTTTTGATTGTGATCGCAAATTTAGAAGTTTCTGTACAATGTGACCAAGTTTACGCGTTTTTTTCAGAAAAAAATTTTGAAAAAAAGTTCCATGGGGTACCCCCTTGACTTTTTTTTTGAAAATTTTTGAAATTTTTTTTTCGGCTGAAAATGTATTAAACGAAAAAGAACAAGCAAATTAGGTTTTTTACAAAATTTGATAACCTATTTTCTTGTCGGGATCAAGACATTTTGATTCTTTTTCTGATTTTCAACAAACCGTAGTACTACGATGATCGCCCAGTAACACTCAAAATTTGAGAAATCATAGACACAAATCATATCTGATTGATGTGTGGCTCTTAAAACGAACCATCCTTATGAACTTTGACAAACAAAAGCTGTGTGAAAGTGTTTAGTGTTGATTAACGAAATAGTCAAAAACTAGATATTACTTAAAACATTTAAGAAAGTACAAATTTTCAGTATCAAAATGAAATTTTTTTTGAAAAATGTGTTCGGAACATTTTGAAGATTTCCACAAAGACCGAAAACAAAAACAAAAACAAACAAAGGAGAGAGGAATCGAACCCAACCCTAGTCAGTTACCGTCCTCCCTCTTCACCGCTACACCACCAGTCGCTGCTTTCAACTAGTTCCACAATCATATAAGAAAGGGGGAGATCTGGCCCTCAAAATATTCAAATTTTAGCCAAATTTCAAACTCGATTTTCTCGGATCTGGAATGTCCGCAGCAAAATCTGAATATATATTTGAAAATGTCTCATTTTCAGCTTTCGAATGATATAGGCCTCATATCAAAGTCCCATACCCCAGTTACAACCTTCCCTAGTGAGTAATTAATTCACAAATATGATTATTTCACAAATATGATAATTCACAAATATGATTTTGTTTTTTAGTTTTTTTAATTCTAGTTTGAGAGTTCCCTCTTCATTTTTCTTGTTTGTGTCTCGGTTTGTGAGTTCTCTCTTCGTTGTTCGTGTTTTAAAATAAACAGTGTTTTTCAAGACAAAAAGAAATCTTCCTTCGTTCGGAAATTCTTTCCTTCCTTATTCCTTATTCCTTATTCCGGGTGTTTTTTCTATTCCTTATTCCTTATTCCGGATTTTAAATTTTTCATTCCTTATTCCTTATTCCTTATTCCGGATTTTAAAATTGTTATTCCTTATTCCTTATTCCTTATTCCTGATTTTTAAATTTCATTCCTTCTTCCTTCTTCCTTATTCCGGATTTTCTAAATTTTTATTCCGCCCATGTCTGGTGAGTAGTCAGTGTGATCTTTTCCGGTTGACTGAAATCAGATGCAACTCATTGAAATTATACATTTGATGACGTTGCAGGCTAACATACACCACAGGCGCTCCACGAGATGTTCATTATTTTGTCATATGTGTATAGTATAAAAATTTTTGAGGATATACAGCGATTTTTCTTCTCAGTAAATTCACTTGTATCTCTAACTAACCTTTGACCGCGGGTTTCAAAAAAAATTATCTAGAACTGAAATTTTCTCTAAATTCTAGCAACAATGTTCAATCCCGTTTAACTTGTATTCAGTAAAATTGTATTTAAAAGGCTTGTATTTAGTAGGTTTGTGTTTAGTAGGTTTGTAGGCCGTGCCATTCATATTATTACAAATGTCTATTATGTGACAAACAGCTCCAATAATCCTATCATATAAAATTCCCAGACTTCATTCCGTAACAATCACTGGCGTTCTTCCGTTTCCTAAGAAAACGTGGCCTATTGTATATAATTATTTCCGGCTTATACTTTCTATTGTTTCTTTGAAGGGGGTTTTGAAACACAGCTTCTGTATTGACATCACACATCTAAAAAAAGTTTTCTTCGGAAAACTTTAAAGAAGGCTCAGTGAGAGGGAAGGAGGAAGAGGGAGAATGGAGTATGAAAGGATTGAGAATAAAAACGTTGTGATATTTCAATCAGAAGGGCATGATCACAATCGTATGTCGGAATTCAGGAGTTCACACGAAATTTGAATTTTACGGAAATTCGATTTTTTGGAATTTTTAATTTTTTTCTGGAGTAATGAAAAAGTAGAATTTTAAGGTTTTTAGAATTTTCGAAAAAAATGAAACTTTTTGGAATTTTATTTCCGAAAGTTTTGAAAACTTATAAATTCGGTATATTTGGAATTTTCGGAAATCTCAAGTTTTCGGAATTTCAGAATTTGTAATAAAATGAATGGCATGAAATACAAACCTAATAAACACAAACAATACAAGCCTGCTGAATACAATTGTACTAAATAAAAGTTAAACCAGATTGAATATTGTAGCTAGAATTAAAAAAAAAAGTTCCGTTCTAGATAATTTTTTTTGAAACACACAATCAAAGGTTGGTTAGAGATACAAGTTAGTTTATTGAGAATAAAAATCCCAGTATAAACTCATAATTTTTATCCTATAATTTAGAAATGAACACTTCAATCAACAATTTTGTACTCAAACATAATATGTAGGATGGCACGAGCTTCTTGAGGGCACGAAATATACTTTTTGGAGTACATCAGTGTGACGAAATAGAAAATGGACCAAGAATAGATTTCATTAGTTTTGTGAACAGCCGCGAAACAGAAAAATTAAAAAATGGAGAGATTTAAAATTTAATGTTTGAATAAACTAGCTGGAATAATGAAACTAGTCTAGAAGACATCTGATTTTTCAACATATTCTCCTTTCTGTACAGGAGAGGGAAATAAAGACAAACGAATGCATAATTAAAAAATGAAAAGAGGAAACCACTGTCTGATAATGAATGAAGAAAGCCTGATTGTACAGGAAAAGAAAAAGCAGGAGGGGGACTGAAAGTAAAAAGATATAGGGTCCAAATGAGTGTCTAGGTCAACCAAAAAAAACACAGAACAATGCAAATGATGAGATTAAAGGAAGAGGACTCTAGATCGTGGATGAGTAGGAGTGGTTGGTAATTCGAGGTTCACCTTGCCATAAGACAATTTATGCATTTAAAGCAAACGGGAAAATGGACTCTTAACATAAAAATTTTGATGAACGGCGAAAAAATCTATTTGATAATGAGAGGAAGACATCAGAAACATTCTCTCATCAAGCTGGATGAGAAAAAATGAGGCGGGGGATGATACTCGAGAAGAAATTAAAGGTATGACCGAAACATAAAGAATAGTTTTCAGTGACTTCCTGATAGTACTTAATTCTGAGGATGTAAGATTAAAGATAATCGCGTATATCATAAAAATGCTTTAGAATGAGCTCTGAAACTTCTTCAGACGATTCAACAGCCATCACTTTGATTAATACTTTTGAGTCCCTTGCAGTCTGGATGTGAGTGTTTCCATAGACAACAATTTTTGATACCGAATCGATTTTTATCGAAACAGACTTGATTTTGGTGGAGGTGCTGAAAATTCTTAGTTAGAAATAAACTTTATTCTCAATGTCTCACCTTTTATCAGTCTGCCCCGATTTCACCAAACTTCCTTGAAAACGTATCTTAACATTTTCCAAAAACATTTCCATGGTGTCCCCGATTTCTTTACAAATTGAAAAACTTGATTCGACAGCTCCGCGAGTTTCCTTCCAATATTCAATCAGATCCAAAATGCTGTTATCGTGTAAATCGTCAATAACTCTATCGACTATCACTTCTTGATTGGGTAAATTTTTATGAGTTTCCAACCAAATATCCGGTTCATTGTAAACATAACGCGTTATTACAATTTTCTTAGATGTGCGGACGTGTGAGTTCTCCAAATCAGAGGGATGAGATACTTTAAAACGGAACTCCTGTAAGGGACTCTCAACGAGTGGATGAAATTCATGCAAGCCAGTATCCCAATAATCGAACGAATTGACTTTCATACTCGAAAGAAGTCCGAACATATTTTGCATATTTTTGTAACCACCCGGCCAAATTGACAACTCTTGAACACGAATATTGCTCCTTCCTCCTAACAAATACTCAACAACTTTTCTAGCAGTTTGTCCAGCTTCGTAATTTTAGAAAAAGTTTTCCGGACAGAAGCATGGGATACATAGTTCAATAAATCCAAAGTAGGCAGGTTCAACGCTTCATCTTTTCTATTCATGTGCCCTGTGTAATTAATAGACACCGATTTCTCTTGGAACCTTATTCGATTCACACGCAACGGTATGCTTCTATCAATTTTGGATATTTCAGGGCATCGTGCCGATAGGTACAGTCGAAAATAGAATTCACAAAATTAAACTTTAAAACAAAAGAAACCGTACCTTTCATCAGCTTTCATGTGTTCAAAAATACACCTCAACGGAGGATACGAGACTACAGGCATCTCGATTTACAGCAGAAAGAAATCAATGAATATAGAATAAAGATTACGTTACCTAAGAAAGAAGAGAAATTATTCTCTCCAAGTCACAGGGTCCCCAGAGTAGTATGTAAAATCAATAGAGGTGTAAAATCAATAGAGATGTAAAATCAATAGATTATTGGGTTTATGTATTGACTGCATTGAGTGCGACGAGGGAGATAGCTAGACGATGCGTAAGACTCCAGATGGTGGAGACCCTTCCAACGTTATTCTGAACGTTTGAGATTTTCTAACATGTAAGTTGCCTGAAAACACTTCTTATACGTATGTAGTACAAAAGCATGACAGGTGTCGTGGTAATAGCCTGGAATAAATCGCAAAAATAAGTAATGTGTCTGAAACAGATGAAGTTAAGAGACAGATTAGATTGAGTTGGTCCAATGCAGACAAGAAATTTCAGAATCTTTGCTATAGGAAAAAGTGGGACGAAGATTCGCTGTCTTACATACTATGTATTGTGAACAACGCCACTAATGTTTCGAACTAGGACACCATTATCTTTAATGAAATGCTCACTTTTTGCTTTTCTGCCAAGTATTGCATTTGAAACACCAGACCGGTAAATCTTTATATCAATTTTTTTGAAATCAGAATTGAATTACACAGGATATTTTACAACAAAAAAAACAAGAAACTGTAATACCAGGGAAAACGGGAGGTGGAATGAAATAGTGGTACATTAAATGAAATGTTTGGGAGATAAAGGAAAGGACAAGCTGCAGAAACCTGTTTGTGAAGTACAATTGAAGTGTTCCATCTCAAAAGAACGCCAGCTCGAGAAGAATAGCATAGCGCTGGGTCAGAGCCCAGTTCAGCTCCTCAACGACCGCAACACCATCGTGAGTGAAAGGTTCGTTTCCGACAACATACATTCGGACAGCCAGCATGACAATTTCGTCGAAAAAGTCCCAGAGCTCTGGAGAAATCTCTGGATCAGCCTGAAAAATGATCCATTGTCTGAATGATTCTATTATGAGAAACTAACCGCGAGTATTTCCACATGGTGAGCAAGAGTGTTGAGAAAGATTTCGAGGAGATCCTGGAAAAAATGGATTTTGGATGCAACAACAGTTGATCTAATACCAGTTCATTTTCCGGCATGTTCAGTGGGTGAGGTCCGGCAATTTCCATGTTGGTAGAATAAGAGTGGAGCTGGAATTAAGAATGTAATGATAATTAAAAAAGTGAGAACGACAAGATGTCAAGAGCGATGTTCAGTAAGTGCCTAGGACATGGAACTGTCTGAACACACGGGGAAAAAGAAAACAACACTGCCAGTCTTTTGCATATATTTTCAAATGTCCCACTATTCGTTTCCATTTATGACTCATTCGAAAATTTACTTTCTGGAAAGCTCTATTTCATCGACTTTCTGATGAGAATGTAAATGAAATCAAGATGTATATCCTAAATATACCTAAAATGATATTGAAAGGACCACTCATAAGCGATACCCTCTCATTTGAAACAGTTTTGGGACATGAAGAAGATTTACGAAAATTTATGGGTAGGAAAATAATAATAGGATTTCTTATTTTTGGGCATAGAATTGATATTGAAGATACCGCTCAAGAGCGATACGCATCTCAAAGCACATGATAAAAGGGGCCTCTGGCATAGATTCTGTCAGTCTCTCGCATAGAATTAGAAATTTTCCGAATATTGTTTCGATTCATGACTCATTCGAGTTCATTCTTCTAGAAAGCTTTATAATATCGATTTCAACGTTAGAATAAAAATGGAATGTACTTATACCTGCATCGCAAAAAGAAAAAAAAATCGAAGGGACCACTCATTAGCGACATTTGAAGACCTTGGAAGCGTTGCAAAAATTTACGAAAATTGAAGCAAAGGAAAAAAATACATTTTGTGAATGGAGAATTTAAAACTGAATATTTATTTCACAAATTGGGAGGAGAAGCAAAAAATGCGATAGAAAAAAGATACGGTATTCCCTCAAATAGAACGCTATAACTTATAACTTCAGTTTGAGCTTAATTATGATATTTTTTTAATTGACAGAAAAGGTAGAGTAATCCAGCAGGGCGAACAAGTCTGAGGATTTTGTAAGAAAATGAAAAAGAGTCTTTTGTAAGTGACTGAGACATGGAACTGTCTCACTGAACACAGCTGGGGAAAATGTAGAAAATCACATGATAGAGGTCTCTCAGTCCCTCGCATATATTTTGAAATGTTCCGAAAAATGCGTTTTCATTTCTGACTCATTTGGATTTGTGCTTTCCAAATCGCTTTATTATATTGATTGCAAAAATAGGATGAAACCCGGGACGTAGACTATGCCTATTCTACACAGACAAAAATCTCAAATCTCTTCTAATAACGACAATGTCCAATACTTCAGGTGATTGTAGGCACAGTTTGCTGAACTGGTTCTTTTCATCTGAAACGGATTCCCCAATATAAGGATTTGATAAAGCTCCTGAAACAACTAAACTAATTTCCCATCGAAAAATCTGATTTCTCATTGACTTTCACATCTTTATTCGATTCGAGTCTGTCATTGTCATTCGTAACACGGTGAAAATCATAACAATTGGGGAAACACATTTTTCTTCAAGCATAAGAACTGGGGGGGGGGGGGGTTTCGAGACGAAAGAGGTGACGAAAAAACGTTGCGAGAACGATTTAGAAAAACGTCTCCGGTATTGGGAGATTATTCAAGTCGAAGAACGTGATGAATCCCTTTGGCAAGTTGCAGCCATCTATCTTGCACAACCAGCGAATCGAAGTATGCGATGGTGTGTCCGGCGGCGTTGAATCGGTAACCCTGAAAATGAAAAAAATGAGATTTTTTGTGAACTAAATTTCTGTAAGTTACCTCTTGAAGGCAATCATTCAGAATGGCAAGTCTGGGATGTGTGTTTTGGAAGAAGTTGAGGACGTTGGTGTAGTAGCCACTTTCCACGTCGACGCCTTTTACAAGAAACTTAGCACCGGATCTTCTTGGTCAGCTGCTAATAGGCATATTGGACGGTGGACGAATACAAGTCCGAGGTGGCGATCGGCAAGGGAGAGAGAAATAAGAACAGCAGTTCTGGAGAACATGGCCGGAGATGAAAGGAGAAGAAGTGATTTGGACTTCTCAGATGGGAGGAACTGGCTCACAATACTGTAGTTTTTATCAGAAGATTAATATAAACTTTTGAGGAAACATTTTATTGTGGTTATACGAAACGGACAGAAAGTTGATTGTAGAGAACAATTAAAGTTTTTGAAACGAAAGATAGTACGAGACGTTTTTGTTAAGAGAAGAACAGGTTGTTATTAGGATAATTCTGGTGAGTTTGAAAAATAATTGGTTTGGTATACACAAAAATGCAGGAAAATGGTTTGATACAAGCTTAAGAAAACTTATGTTTGGGGAGATTTGAAAAAACTGGTATTCGGAAATATGTTAGGACACATTGTTCAAAGTATGGGAGACTTGAAAGTTTTCATAGTATTTTTCAGAAATTATTTCGAGAGCGAAAGTGAACATTGTCAGTTGTTGTTCAACATCTCCAAGAATGCCACGTCATTCAGGATGAGGTGAACATAACGCGGAAAAAGGGCCCAGTACAGGTTCTCAAGGTCGGTGACGCCATTGCCAGTCAGTGGCTCGTTACCGACGATGAACATTCTCTCGGCGATAATGACAGTTTCTTCGAGAAAATCTAACACTTCTTGCGGAGTCTCGAGACCATCCTGAAAAATGCTCCATTGACTGATTGATTTTATTATAAGAAACTCACCACGAGTACATTCATGCGATGAATGAGAGCGTTGAGAATGCGGTCAAGGATTGCCTGCAAATAATTAGCTTGTCGGTGCAAAACAGTTGATTTCATACCAATTCATTTTCTGGCATGTTGAGTGGCAGAGGACCGGCAATATCCATGTTTGTAGAAGTAGAGTGGAGCTGGAAGTATGGATTCATATTTAGAAAAAAAAAAATAAAAAACGGCGAGAAGTCTCAAGAGCATAATTGGATACGATGATAAGGGAGAATCATTTCCCAGTCAGTGACTAGGACATGGAACTGTCTAAACACATGAGGAAAAAGAAAAAAACACATGTTTGTCAGTTTCTCGCATATATTTTGAAACAACCCAATATTCGTTTTCATTTATGACTCATTCGAAAATTTGCTTTCTGGAAAGCTCTATTTCATTGATTTTCTGATGAGAATGGAAATGAAATCAAGATATATATCCTAAATATACCTGAAATGATACTGAAAGGACCATTCATTTGGGTCAGTTTGGGGATATGAAGAAGATTTACAAAAATTGATGGGTTGGAAAATATTGATTAGACTCCCTATTCTAAAGTTAAGGCTCCCTTGTGGATATTGAAGGTATCAGTCATTAGCGATACGGCTCACTTGGCAAATGGAGAGTTTGAAATATCACAAATTGGGAAGAGAAACAAAATGTGAAAAAAACGACACGGTATTTCCTTGAATAGAACGTCATACCCCATCATTGCAGCTTTTTAGCTCAATTATCTTGGTTCCTAGAAGAGATAAAAAAACTGTGACCTAATTAAATTTTCATCATATTTTAAACAACATTTTAGCAGTTGACAGATTTTCGATATCTAGTCTATGCACGGAGATTATTCTATTAGAGGATATACGGTACATGAAAAAGCGCATGATAGGGTATCTCCGTCTTACGCATAGGTTTTTGAAATGTTCCAGAATGTGTCTATCTCTTTTTGACTCATTCGAATTTTGTTTTACCAAAACGCTATTTTTTATTGACTTAAAAATTTGAAAAAAAACTCGAAATTTTGTAGTACGCTAGCTGATGATTTTGTAAAAAATAAACAAAAGTCCTTCGTGAGACATGGAACTGTATCACTGAACACATCTGGGAAAAATGCAAAAAATCACATGATAGAGGTCTCTCAGTCCCTCGCATATATTTTGAAATGTTCCAAAATTCGTTTTCATTTATGACTCATTCTAATTTTTGCTTCCGAAACGTTCTCTCTTGCTGATTGCGAAAATAAAATAAAATACAGTGAACCATAGACATGAAGCGCCCGATAGTCCATGTCTACATACTACCCATACTTCACATATCCATAGGAGTCCCACGTTCTTTCGATTTATTCAAGTCCGAGACAGGCACTTGAATTTTATCCGCCAGCGCTCGGATTTCTGATTCACAACTTCTGATTCTAGGAATATTTTTTCCCAGTTTTGTACACTTTTCAAGACAAAGACCTCAAATCTCTTCTGACAACGTCAATGTGTAACATTTCCGATGAAAATGTTAGGACAGTCTAAATAGCTCAAATGTAGTAACAACTTGAGCACCTGTTCCCTTAAGCTGAAACTTTCTCAAGCCAGAGAGCACTTTCTGAGCTCCAACAGAACCTCATCTAACTTTCCAGGAAAAACCTAAATTTTCAATTAACTTTCTCATCTTTATTCGATTCGGGTGTAACTTGAAAATCACGGTGTCAGGAGAAGAAAAACTTGGAGAGGGTCACATCAACAGGGTAAAACATGTGAGAACATGAACTGGGGGAGTATCGTCAGTTTGAATCAAGAAGAAAGCACGAAAAAAAGAGTGAACGGGGAGGGGGCAATTTAGAAAGAAGTCTCTGGCATTGGGAGCTTGTTGAAGTCCAGGAACGTGGTAAATTCCTTCGGCAGGTTGCAGCCATCTCTCTTGCACAGACAACGGATTGAAGTCTGTGATGGACGTCCGGCGACGTGGAATTGGAATGCCTGAAAATGAAGAAATGAGATCTTGTTTTCAGGTTAACATTTCTGTAACTCACCTCTTGAAGGCAGACATTGAGCATGGCAAGTCTTGGGTGGGTGACTTGGAAGAAGTTGAAGACGTTGGTGTAGTCGTCAGAGTCCATGTCGACACCGTTGACGTATCCTTTGTTCCAGTTCTTTGGGTCCGGCATATAGGAGCAGAGGTCGTAGATTGGCTCGCTGAGTGTGTGCTTTCCAGAGAAGTTGTTTCCAGCAATGTTCTCCTCGATTGGCTCCCAGCACCGAATCTTCTTGGTGAGCTGCTCTTGAGCATCTTGGACAGTGTTCTTGGCCGATGGGCGGACACTGAATCCCGAGGTGGCGACTGCCAAGAAAGAGAGGACAACAGCAGTTCTGGAGAACATGCTTGGGGATGGAAGAAGGAGAAGTGAATGAGACTTCTCAAAGGAATGGGACTGAAATATGAAAAGTAGTGCTTCAGACGCCGTTCTTATAAGGAACCGAAAAATGGGCGGAGTCTCTCTCGGACGGAAGATAGAGAAAAATGGGCGGGGCGACGTGGGGGATGGAAAGCTCTTTGGTGCAGAAATTGAATGCAAAGAGGTGGTAGAGAAAAATGGAAACTTCACGGTTTCTGATTCTAATCCCGTGGGCAAGT